GGGGGGGGGGGGGGGGTTCGGGAAGGGAGAGGGAAAGGGTAGGTGAAAAGAAGGGAGTTTACAGGTTGTAAAGAATATATACTTACACTATACATTTACTAACACTTTGTAATCTACCCTCTGCAGTGTGCAGTCTACAGTCTACAGTTTACAGTCTTCATACATCTGCAATAATCAAATACATTTAGTATTTCCACCAGAGGGGTGTATTTAGTATTGGTGTAAATTATGTTATATTCAATAAGACATTTAATGTTACTTTTTCTTGTACTTCTGTTTTTAAGTAAAAATATGGATTTTTTTTTTTTTTTTGCTATATATCTAGCAGAAAGCTATTCTGTTGAAATATTCTGATGTGATCAAAGTGTGTGTGGGGGGGGGGCTTGTAGACTGTTGTAATTTTGATCTAAATATTTATTTTTGGAGTATAGCATTGTAATCAATCCTGATTCGTGTCATCTAAACTATAATTTTGCTCCAAAATATTTTTCCGTTTTGTTGAAAACACGGAGGTCTAGTCTGGTGTGGTTTACAGTATACCGTGAGTAAATGGTTCTGGTTCTGCTGGGTTTACGTCGTCTATAAAAGGGTTTGAGAGCGGACTGGTGAGATATAAAGAGAAGGTTTAGAGTCGACCATTAAGTTTAGCAGCCTCTGTTTAGCTTTAATTAGAACAATTAGAGATCTGCTCATCTCTCTGAGTACAGGGCGTCTCGGAAAACTCACGAATCCAGTATTTTTTAAGCTTATTCTGAATATTCTAAGAATTTTGTATTTTTAAGCTTATTCTCAATATCCTAAGAATTCCGTATTGTAACGGAAAACACACGAATCCAGTATTTTTTTAAGCTTATTCTGAATATCTTAAGAATGTAGTATTTTTTAGCTTTTCTCAATATCCTACGAGTTTAGTATTTTTTAGCTAATTCTGAATATCCTAATAGTGCAAAGAGTGTGTAATATTTCGTCTCTGAGAATTTTAGGACACCTTGTAGTAAACTTTATACGAGAAGTTCGATATAGCAGATGAAAAGTTGGAGAGAACGTAAAGTAATTCTTCAAACCCAATTTTTCCGTAGGGTAACTTTTCAAATCACTTTTTTTTACAGTCAATTATCCCTTTCCCGTAATGTCAATTTTGCCACTTTAGAATTATTTTTCATTTGAAAAGTTGCCACTAGCTTTTGGTAAAGAAATTATTACTCGCTTCATACTCTAATTGTCTAAACTACAGTTTAGCAAATAGATATCGTTTACCTTTGATATTTAAAACTTTGAAATTTTAAAAAGGTTTACGCTATCAGGTTGTAATTAACCGAGGTATTAGTTCCTTTTGGAAAATACATTTTAGTGACTAGTGAGTGCCATCTTAACATAATTTTTAGCATAATATTTCAATTTTAGAAGAATACATTCCAGCTAGTGTTAGCTACTGATGGACAGACATCTTTCTCCTTGTTCCTTTATCCATCTCAGGGTATTCAGTGGAACAGGGGAACTGGCAAGAACAGGGAGAATATCTTTCAGTCAAATCTTCAAGAGATTTTTCTATCCAGATTTCTCTGCCGGCCGAAGCCCAGACTCCCAGTTTAAAATTAAAACGTTTATTAAACATATAATTACTTTAGAAGTATAATGATTACTGAAAACAAAACAAAACATACACGTGGTATCATTTTATTGGCAATCAGCTAAAAAATAAACTGCTTTTTTATAGTTACTTAAAACGCACATTATTTTATTTGCTTGAATGTTTATCGATTGCATTCTTATTTGGGAATGTACATTATATAGTTGTTATTGATTCAAGAAGATATCCTTGATCAGGAATAGTCCTGATGCTAGAGCTCAGGTTGGGTTCATGTTTCTCCTCCAGGACGGAAAATATCATCTTCTTCCTTTCTCAGGGAGGGATCAGGTATACAACTTAATCAGGGAGGGATTAGGTTTACAACTTAATCAGGGAGGGATTAGGTATATAACTTAATCAGGGAGGGATAAGGTTTACAACTTAATCAGGGAAGGATTAGGTATACAACTTAATCAGGGAGGGATTAGGTATAAAACTTAATCAGGGAGGTAATAAGTATACAACTAATCAGGGAGGGATTAGGTTTATAACTTAATCAGGGAGGGATAAGGTTTACAACTTAATCAGGGAGGGATTAGGTATATAACTTAATCAGGGTAGGATAAGGTATACAACTTAATCAGGGAGGGATAAGTTATACAACTTTCATAAGAAGGGATCAGGTATACAACTTACTCAGGGAGGGATTAGGTATACAACTTAATCAGGGAGGGATTAGGGATTCAACTTAATCAAACCATGAACAATTGATGTGTTTATAGACATCCTACAAAGTTGGTTTGAACAATTTCTAATTTTTCGGATCAATTTCCTTGTCCTAGCTTCTAACAATCTCATATTTTTATTGATCCTCTTAAATCACTAGTATTCCATCGCTTGCATGGTAAATAACATCATCTCCCAATGCATTCTTGATCATCACGTCAAAACACTTATTTTTAGATACCATCTTAGAAATTATACAAATTTTGGGTTTCAACATTTTATGCGAAAAAAACATGGTTCTAGAGTCGAGGAAATAAATGGGTCTTTTGGTTGTTTCCGGTAGATTCTTGACAAAGCAAAAAGAATGCAAAATGCAATCAAAACTAACTATTAAAGGGACTGTAAGCGTAATTTCAAGTGACCCTTTATGCAAAGATGACAGTTCCCGAATTACAACGCACGTGGATTTAACGGTTCTGTCAATATTCAAGAAAGCTGTGACTTTTGATTACAATTTGTCCCATTGAACATAATTTTTTAGCCTTTTTTCTTAAATACTTTTTGCCAAGGCTTTTAAGATTATCATTGTAAATCAGGCATTGCCATATTTGCATGGAGGGCCACTTTAATTCACGCTTACAGTCCCTTTAAAGCATTTGGCAATTTATTTGAAGATTTTTTAAAGCTGAATAAGACGCCTTTTATTAGATTTTTCTCAGAGTTGACAATGGTATGATTTAGATCACAAGTATACCAACCTGGACTAACTGTGGGACTCCTGGACTATGGATATTCAGGGTCGGACGTATAGATTATCTAGAGAATATAGAACAGCCGCCACAGTTTTCAGGTCAATAGAACAATTATTCAGCCACCTTTTTCTTCAAATAATTACCTCTCCGTGTTTCATGTATTTCTTCTAAATAAGAAATGAATTCGCTAATATAATGCATGGTTTAAGACAAAGTTTGGTGTACCATCCAAATATCCCACAGCCATGGTTCATTTAGTTCAAGTTTTATATTTTTAACTTGCAAAGAAATTGAGTCTGTGCCACAGACTTAAATTTTTTAATCCCTATATCTTTGCAGCCTTTGGTATTTCAAACTTAGATCATTTGATCTAATAGAATTCATAGTTTGAAATATCTAAGGACTACAGAATATAGGGATTAGAAAATTAGAATTAGTGGCAATAACTCAATTCCCTTATTTGAATTTCTTAAAATCATCCATGTTTTCCAATATAAAAATATAAAAATAAGCATTTTTATGTAATTGTTATTATATTACTTTTATAAATTCAGATTAATTTTTAAATAAAAAATATACTTTTTTAATATTTTTCTTACATTACGTAGTTTTTGCTTGAAAATAAGGCAATGATATAATTATTTGAATTTCTAGAACCGGATACCCTGAGTCTAAGAGACTGTACAGTTGGAAACAGTTTCTGCCATTCTGAAGGAACCTGCTCTAATACAGAGGCAGGGTTCTGCTGTGCCTGCAATACTGGATGGTAATCAACCTCTTAGTTCTTCAGTTCATTTATACCGATAAATCATTTCTTTTTCTAAATAATTACCGCGGGAGGTTACGTTACTTTATTGTCTCTTGGCTTATTATCGAAATTTAACTGTAGTTCGTAAAGAATCGCAGGGTTAAAATTCGTGAATGCAGATTACTTTATTCGTACTCTTATTTTCTGCCTGTTATTTCTTTGCAACTTGATGTTCTAGATATTTAAGATATTAAACTATGTAAGACTGTAAGATTAGGTAGCCAGAGTTTTAAATATTAAAGGTTTTCACCTTTAGGTTGGACAGATTTAGAGAGTAGAAAATTAGAGTGTTCGATTTGAGTTTACTTGTTTTAAACTATATACATGATGCACTTATGAATGGTAATTTCTAAGGTACGGAAATGGACAGAACTGTCTGGAGGATGGGCAGCCTCAGAGAGTTAACGGAAGGTTTGATCAATTATTTTTTAATTATTTTAATACGATCGAATAAATATATTTGTTTTAGAGTGAACGGGGTCGTAAATGGAATTACAATAACTCAACAGGTTCGATACATAATCTTACAATACTTCTTCAATATAATCTTACAATACTTCTTGAATATAATCAAGCATCTATTCATTCCAGGATTTACACTGCTATGTGGTGACTAGTGATGGAAGAACTTATACAGCTATTAGTCGGGTCATTCCAGAGCTAGGATGGGATCTCCAGGTACTGTAAATATACAGTAGGTTCTATATACATACATATATTCCGGAGCTAGGGTGGGATCTCCACCTACTGTAAATATACAGTAGGTCCTGTATACATATATTCAGGAGCTAGGATGGGATCTTCAGGTACTGTAAATATACAGTAGAACTTGTATACATATATTCCGGAGCTAGGATGGGATCTCCAGGTACTGTAAGTATAAAGTAGGTCCTTTATGCATATATTCCGGAGCTAGGATGGGATCTCCAGGTACTGTAAATATACAGTAGGTCCTGTATACATACATTCCGGAGCTAGGATGGAATCTCTAGGCATTATTTATACAAAGAAGTACCAAGGTACTGATTAGGACTAAGATTTATAAGACACATATGGAATTTTCAAACACTCAAGAGGAGGAGAGGTTAGGTTTTTCATTTAAAGAATAGAACCTGAGAAGTGACGTTTGTTTTTACTATGGTTAATCTTAGATCTAGTTTAAAATTTTACAATAATTATTTTTTCCTCAGGGCTTTGTTCCTCTTGGTACAGTTATATCTTGGTTGTTTGCAACACCCGAACCCGGAGCTAAGAACGGTTTCAGCCTTACAGGAGGAATACTTAATTATACTGCTGAAGTAAACTACCCTGATACTGGACATAAAGCTTCCATTCACATTCATTTCAAGGTAATAATCTCCCACTTGGCGATTTACGGTAAACTTTTTTCAACTGCTAAGTTTTATTTTTGAGTTGTATCGGACGAAGCTTATAAATTCAATACATTGTAGCCGTGCAAACATTAGAAAAATTACGGGTTAAAAACATCAGTGGCTTTTTATCCGAGTTCACAAGTAAAAGGATAAAAATAAACAGCTGACAAATAAATCAATATTCTACATATCTGCATCATATATTGGTGTTGCGTAATGTGCAGGGGATGAATGTATATCTGCATCATATATTTGTGTTGCATAATGTGCAGGGGATGAATGTATATCTGCATCATATATTGGTGTTGCGTAATGTGCAGGGGATGAATGTATATCTGCATCATATATTTGTGTTGTATAATGTGCAGGGGATGAATGTATATCTGCATCATATATTTGTGTTGTGTAATGTGCAGGCAGGGGATGAATGTATATCTGCATCATATATTTGAGTTGTATAATGTGCAGGGGATGAATGTGTATCTGCATCATATATTTGAGTTGTATAATGTGCAGGGGATGAATGTGTATCTGCATCATATATTTGAGTTGTATAATGTGCAGGGGATGAATGTATATCTGCATCATATATTTGTGTTGTATAATGTGCAGGGGATGAATGTATATCTGCATCATATATTTGAGTTGTATCATGTGATGGGGATGAATGTATATCTGCATCATATATTTGAGTTGTATAATGTGCAGGGGATGAATGTGTTTGATTATCTAACTGCTGACGTTACCATCTCTGGGACTCTACCTAAGATACCTGAAGGCGCGAAGGTAAGTACGGTAGAAGTTGTAAATAAATAAAACATAAGGGGAAACTTCAAAGACGACTGTGCGCATTTAATTTATGCATTTGCGTGTTTTTTTCAGTAATACTATACTGGCAAGTTGTTTCTATTTATCACTAATCACAAAGTTTACCATCAAAAGACAACATTTCAGACTAATGACCAAATCTAACCTTTAGATTGATATTTAAAAAATTTTGAGATCGTCATTAGAGTTTCAATCTGATTGGGCAACCCTGAGAATTCTTAGAATTTTTTATAACATACTTAAAATTGTTTCATTTCTCCCAAAACTAAATAAATTTTGAATATTTTTCATTATATAGATTAGTGTAGAAGACCAAAGAACTGAGTTTTCTAAGATGGAGAAAGGGTTTGTCAGAGCAAGGTAAATATCAGGGTTTGTCAGAGCAAGATAAACATCAGGGTTTGTCAGTAAGGTATATATTACAGTTAGTGAAAAAACTATTATACATATCATATTTGTAGATCAGAGCATAGTTACAAGATTGAGGGAACAAGTTCTGTTGTTCCCTACACTGTAGATCAAACTGCCAGGTAAGCAAAAACGAAACTTATTTAAAAATTCTGCAAGATTTAAAAATGGATGCAACATTTCATGAACAGGTAGATAAAAATATGAGTAAAAAATAAATATATATATATAAAGAATGATTTGATGAAGATAAAAAAGAATATTGTAGAAACTTAAGCGGGCGTCGGTGTGTAGGTGGTTAGTTGATTGGTTGGTTAGGTGATTAATTGATTGGTTGGTTAGGTGATTAGATGATTGGTTGGTTAGGTGATTAGATGATTGATGTTTGCTGTTTAGTAAAATAAATATTGTTGCAACATTGGTTTGCTGTTTAATAAAATAACTTACTAATTAGGTGTGTTAGGGGATAATTAAGGATTGATTAAGGTTCGAAGGGTTTGATGGAGTAGTTAAAAACATTTGGAAATAATTCTGAAAATATAAACCCGGTTGTTAAAGTGGAATTACTATGGATTGCAATGTTATTTGTGGATTTGATTATTCACTAGATAAACGTTTCACTATTTGATGTTTTCCTGTTTGTCAGAGTAGACAGAAATAGCTGAAGTTAGGCTTTGGTTTGGACTTCTTTGAGTGGAGGGGTTGGTAAAGACGACAATACGGGGGGGGGGGGGTAAAAGTTAGATTTATGGTCAACAAATATGTATCTGTATATAGTTGGGGTACTGGCATAAATGTATAGGTGGAAGTATGGATGAATGTATAAATAAATATACATCTGTATAGCTGGGATGAGTGTACTGGAAGTATGGATAGATATATAAATGAATTAACATCTATTTAGGTGTGATGAGTGTACTGGAAGTATGGATGAATATATTAATGAATATATATTTGCATAGTTGGGATGAGTTTACTGGGACTATGAATGAATATATAAATGAATATGTATCTATATAGTTGGGATGAGTGTTCTGGAAGTATGGATGAGAAGAGAATGACAATGAAACTAATGTCTGCTCGAAATTTTATTATCTATGATGAAAAAGAAGAAATAGTAAGGTATAACATTTCTTTTATTCATACTAAAGTTTCCATCCACAAATTAAAAAATAAAGAAATTCAACATCTAAATCATGCTAAATCATATATATACATTTCACCTCAAGACCAGACAAACATAAATAATACAGCATATTTTGGTTTTGAACAATAATACACTTTCATAGTATAAGAATGAGAAACACTTTATGTTAAAAAAAACATCAAATACATTGTTGTCTGGTCTAATGGTAAGAATAATTGGGAACTTTTAACACGTCATTGTTTAAGTTTGTCGTAATAACCAAAATACCTACAAAGTACACATAACACAACGAACTTTTTATTTTTACCATGCGTATAATACTGAATCAAATTGAAAACGGATAACTTATAATATTCAAGTTTATATTTCGAACTAATAAACCTTCCACATCTCCTGGCCTAATAGTACGTTTTTTGTAATATGAATTTGAAATCTTAATTTGTGGGTTCTTTAATTCTAGGAAAGACAAAGATATAAATGTTACTAGGTATGCTCTGACCAGCCATATAGCTGAGCTGACCCCGGCCCAGGATCCTTGTCTAGAGGTGGATTGTGGACCCAACAGTAGGTGTCTAGTCGTGGGAAACTCATTCAGGAATATTTATTTATTATTTCACTACCCCGGGAACCCAGCTTTACATTGAAACTATACTTTAAAAAAACAAAACACAGAACATTGAACTTTAAAAAAGCTATCAATATTCCTGTGGTTCTGCTGAGTTCCCCTATCAAAATTATAGGCAATTCGGTCGGTGGTTTATGAGTCACATCGAATATCCAAACAGACTAACGGATTGGACTAAAATTTTATAATTATAGTGATAATTGAAATATTCATTTTTAAACAAATCTTCTAAAATTACCGAATTTAAAAAAACTAAAAATATTGGATGATAATTAGATAAGGATAATGCAATATGGATTAGATTAGGATGAATATGGGTTGAAAATAGAAGTTTGAATAAGAAATGAGGATGAATATAGATGCACAGATTGGATGAGGATAAAATTGAGTAAAATACAAGAATTTACATGAAAAAGAGGCTGGAATAAGGATCCAATAATTGGAGAAGCATAATTGGACTCAAGGATTTGAATGAAATAGAAAAAGGGTAAACTATTAAAGGGACCGTTCACTTATTTGGGTAATTTCAGTGTAAACTAAACAGCATATTCGCTGTTGATTGGTAATAGTCTTACTTTTCAAAGACAACTGTGGCCGAAGAAAAAGCCGATTTTTCGTTCAGAATTTGAGCGGAAAGGAACGGTCCCTCTCTGTAGACACTATTTGATTTTTTTTTCAGTAACAACAGCCCAATTACATTTAAATTTATTATATTCTAATGTCATCATGAAAACTTTTGATATTTGAGTTAGCAAGAAATTTACGTTTTTCGTATTAAAACATGTAAAATGTGTATACAAAGACGACGTCTTTACGACAATTAATTAATCATTACTCGTATTTTGGTTCGTAGATTTAGTAGATTTTGTTCCCGTATGTGCACAACTTTTCATTTGTCATGCCGCGTTCAATTCAGCGTTTTACACAGGCCATACACAATTTTGAATGCAATAAAATAGTGTTATTTTAGAAATAGAAAGTTAAAAAAACAAAAACAAAAATTGAAAAATAATGACATTTACAATTAACGATTAGGTACTACAGTTTACTTTTATATTCGAAATTTATTTTATTCACAATATACTGAATAAAACATCAATTAGTGTCTATAGAGAGGGACCGTCCCTTTGCGCTCGAATTCTGAACGAAAAATCGGCTTTTTCTCCGGCCACAATTGTCTTTGAAAAGTAAGACTATTACCAATCAACAGCGAATACGCTGTTTAGTTTACCCTGAAATTACCCAAATAAGTGAACGGTCCCTTTAATTAAGGTTAATAATTTGAGGAGAGAGAATTGATGAAGTTTAAGTCAACAATTTAGGATTTGATATGCATATTATGGAGTTAGAAAATAGTAAATTTTAATAAATAAGATGAGGAATGTTATTTTACGACTGTTCACGGTTATGACTCGTTTATTGGATAAGAAATTAATAAATATTGTTCTTCAGCTGTGAGTGTAATACTGGATTCTGGAAGGTGGATGAGAGAGTATGTGAGGATGTGGATGAGTGTATGGATGAGGATAAAAACAATTGTGACACGAATGCTCACTGTATCAACAATCAAGGAAAATTACAAACAACCCATATTTATAAATTGTCAAAATACCGATTAAAACATTAATATTTTTAGGGAGTTTTGCTTGTGAGTGCAAGGATGGTTTTATCGGGGATGGAAAACTCTGTTATGGTAAATAAATAAATAATGGGGTTCCCAAACTGTAATTAACAATAAATACCAAACTTGAATTCTAGAGAATAAAATATTTAAACCTGAAAACTCGATTTCTAGCACAAAAAAATCTGATAAAAGGGACGGTATATAATATATATCGACGACTTTAAGTGACCCTAGATTTAAAGAGTTTTTGCCCGATTCTCAAGAGTACCCTTAAAGGGACTGTAAAGGTAAAATGAAAGGGGGTATAGACTGAAAGCTAATCACTTTAGCTCTTGTTCGCGACCCATGAAACTTTTATCTGATGTTACTATCTCGAGAAATTGATTTACAACTGTGTTAAAATCATACGAAAGTTCATATATGTAAAATTTAGAAAATCTTAAATTTAAATCACGTGACCAGAACTATCACCAATGGCAGAGCAGTATACTGATCACGTGTCTCTGCCTGTATCACGTGACCACTTTACTGCACTGTCATTGGTGGATTTTCTGGTCAAGCAATTCGGACGTGTAAATAATATTATGAATTAAATCTATTAAAAATAGAAATAACAAATATAAAATTAGAATTGGAGTAAACCTAAGTAATAATTAGTTTCTCGGGGATATTATCGTTTTCAGATTGGTTGCTTATTTGCTGAATTTGATCTATTTAAACCCACTACTTTTATACAAAATTGTATATATATTAATTTTCGTATAAATTTGACACAGTTGTAAATCAATTTCTCGAGATAGGAACATCAGATAAAACTTTCATGGGTCGCGATCGAGAGCTAAAGTGATTAGCTTTCAGTCTATACCCCCTTTCATTTTTCCTTACTGTCCCTTTAAAACCTTTTTCTGGGCAAAAATACAAAAACATTCTTGTCTTTCATTATTTAAATTGTGGTAGCTCATCGAAAGTGATTTCCAGATTAATGCAGCAATTATTGCATCATATAAAAACAAGAATGAATTATTTTTAGGGTTTTAAATGATATTGTACATACTATTATTTTCAAGCTCCATTTTCTAAATGTTGGTACTAAATCAAAATTTTAAAATGGATTGAACTGGTTTTTAAATTTTCATGAAAACAAATGGTTTATTATAGTATCTGGAATGATACAATGAACCAGCGATAATATAAATAATAATGTCGTGGTTCAACCACTTCTCTCCAGCTTGAACCAGTTCTCAAGAGCAGTGATTGAACTACTTTCGCGCGGTTAAGCCACTTATGCCTATTCATTAAATCTGGTCCCAGAATGTATAAAATTATTTTCCTATTCCAGAGGAGAAGAGTTGTGAAGATCTAAACTGTGATGAGAATAGTTTGTGTATTCTGAACTCATATTCCCAGGGGGAGTGTAAATGTAAACCAGGATATCAAGGAGATGGGGTCAACTGTACCCTAATTCCATCCATAGGTATTTTATTCATTAAAATATGTTTTACCTTGTAAATTATGAAAAAACTAAAACTTCGGACTTTTCTGTTTTAGGGGTGGATTTTAGAGCAATGTGAGTCACTGCAAAATAATAAGGCCCTATCGAAACTCCCTTTTTGATGTTTATTGGATTCATTTTGATTTTGATTTTATTAGATCCTCGATTTTTAAGGTTCAATTTGCTTTTTTAGTTTCTCTGGTGGGAACAGCTGAACCTCAAACTCTTGGAATAAATTCTAAACCTGAGACAGCTCCAGGTGGCACCTTGAGCAAGATCGGACCTGGAGTTCTGCATTCATACACACTGCATAACAAAGGACCATTTGACGTCGGAAACATTGCTGTAAGTAGTGTTTGTCAAAAGCGAGATTCGAATTCGATTTCTAGCCTTTTTAAGGGTTTACAATTTAAAAAAAAAACACCATTAAATTCTGTCAAGGTTTCAACATTCTAACAAAATGTGTAAATTTTAGTTTTATGAAACGAAACAATGCAAAAAAAATGTTTACCGTAAGACCGAATATAAAGTAAGAACTAAAAACATTTTTTGACGTTTTTTAAACTTTTCAGATTGTTGTGGGATGTTTCAAAAGTCTAATAATCTTAAAAAAAAGATTAAAATGAGTTTAGCTATTTTCCATCAGTAGATGGAAGTAAAACTTACCCATTTAATATTTGCCTTAAAAAAGTTTTACTTCGCATATTTTTTTCAGGTGAATATCTCCTGGCCGCTTCAAGATGAATCTGGAAACTGGATTTTATATCTTTTTGAGATTCCATATATAGAATACAAAACAGAGAATGGAATAGTTAAAGAGAATTGTGAGATAGATAATACTTTAATAAATCATCTTAATCTCAAGGATAGGTAATATTAGCTTTAATTTAAGAAGAAAAAGCAAAAAATATCAAATTTTAATTTAAGAAGAAGAAGAAGAAATGCAGCTCCTAATGATTACGAAGAAGACGACTATGAAGAAGAAGAAGAAGATGAAGAAGAGGCTGGAGAAGATGCTGGAGAAGAAAACATCTTTTATTCAGGAATAATATTGTTCTTGTTAAATAACGTTTACCGTGCCTGTACCATGATGAATCAAGGGTTTCAAACTCTTATTAAAAACCGTTAGAGTTTTAGTTCTTAAAAACTAGCACTGAAATAAGTGCCTATAATTTAAAATGTACATATCTAGTGCTACATAAAAGTATAATTACAAGTTAGAATCGGCGCATGTACAGCGTACAGCGTATTTATACACAGTGTAAAAAAATGAAGCCAACGATTTCTTTTTTTTCGTCACACTGCTACGAAACCAAATTTTATTACAAAAAAATTTACTAAGTTTAAAAATATGAATTTATGGAAAATATTCAGATTTTTTTTGAACTTGAAAAAACATTGATTGTTTAAAAACGAACCAAAACAAAGATATCCCAGCTCTACAACCAAAGAGAATAGAATATACATTTAGTGGAATTTAGAAAATCCCTCGGTATGAATTTTATCAGTCCCTGAAAGGGAGTTTACAAATCATAAAAATGTTCACAAATTATATCCAGTAGAGTAAATTAATACAGTATGTTCCTTAGACTATCCATTTCAATTTTGAATTTTTTAAAGCTGTTAAAAACTTTATAAAATAAATTAGGTGAACAAAAACATCATTTGATTCATAGTTATAACGGAAAATCATCGTTTGTAAAGTGAAAGGCGAAGAGTCGATGTGAAATGATCATTGGTCAATTATGAAACCAGCCTATTTCATAATTTGGTTTTCTTTTAATATTAATTTTAGATTTTCTATAAAATGACGTTCCAGGGCCCAAAAGGTTATATAGCACAAATATGTGAAGTACACCTGAAGTATGGAAACACTACATCAAAATGGCCGTTTTACACTTTTTTCTAGTAAATTCCCCTCTAATATATATTCTATTCTCTTTATCTACAACTCTTCAAACATGCATGAATTCCATTTCCCAGTGATAGAACATAAACTCAAACATATTTACTTTAAAGAGTACAAACTTGGAACTGGTTTAGGATCAGTGTTCACTGACCAGGTAAAAATAAATATTTTAATTTGAAAATAATTAATTCATAAATCAAAGACAAATTATTCTATTTTACTGCATACCTTTGTCAAATATATTAAGTTTACAATTGAAAATTGTCTGAAACCCTTTAAAACTGTCTGATACAATACAGAATGCAAAAACTGTTCCTTGCAGAGGATAAAACTGAAGGTTGGTTTACCATGTTATTTCATTGATTGCACTTATTATCATTTGTTTAGAATGAATTTGGTGAGTTTGAAGATTATGACTATTCTCATCTAACAAATAAACTGCTAAACCAAGAATATTCTGATAACAATGACTCGACGAAAGAAAACAAACAAACAACGGAACCTACAATCAGGAACAGTAGTTTAAGAAAAGATTTAGAAAAGAATATATTATTATCATCATTCAATGCTTCAGGTCATAACATTTATCCGCTTGATCTCTTTAAATGAATGTTATATGGTCTATGGTTATCATAAGTTAATTATGGTATAAAAAGGTTACCAAGAATTGATTCGTGGATTTTTTGAGGCATATGTTAGACAATTGTCAACAACGTGTATTCTTTAATTAAACATTTAACAAGGAACTGAGTTTTTGCCACAAACTTAAATTTTCTCATCCTCATATCTTTGCAAACTTAATGGTGCAAGCCTTTGAAAATTTCTTCTTAAACTATTTACTTCAAATTTATTTATACTTTTAAGTATCAACATTAACATAGGGTTGCAATGTATAGAAATTAAAAATATGAGTTTGAAGAAAAAACTCAGAATTTTCACTTTAAAAATCTGCAGAAAAGGCAAATATAACCTTCTTATACTTCAATACTTTTTTACCAATTCAATTTAATTGAGGTATTAAATTATCTATAAAGTAATTTTACTATTTTTTAATCCATATCTCGGTTGATCTCCTGAATATCATTTAAATCCTTGAAAACAGATATCAAACTATGTGCAGTGGCTAAGTGCTACCTGATGAAAAGTCTGTTTATTAGTCAATCATGTTCTTGTTTAAACCTGTTGTTTGATTAGTGTTGATCATGAATCTGGTCGAATAGTTGAGTCTCCAGTATCTGCTCCATCCTATACTGGGAGCAAGTTTGGAAAAGTTAATTTTATCTGTAGAATCAGGAACATCAAAATATATAAACTAAACATCAATCAAAGGATGATTTAAATTCCGCTTTTAAGTTTGATTACGCTCAGTCAAAGTGGAAGAAAAAATCTTGTCTTCCGTAGTTGTTTTGTATTTTAAGGAATTGAGTATTTACCACAATCCCTGATTTTTAATCCCTTTATCTTTTTAACCCAATGTCGTAGACCTTAGATATTGCAAACTATGAATTCTCTTAGATCAAATAGTTTAAGTTTGAAAGTTTTTTAAGTTTTTATTACCCGGTTGCAAAAATATTTGAAATTAGAAACTTTGACTGTGTGGCAAAGACTCAACTCCTTTTGCCACAAAACACCTTATCAGGCTTTTCAAAATGTGAAGAAATTTCTTTTAAAAGATTTGTCACAGATTTTTTTTAAACTGAGCAAGTAGGGAGTTTCTTTTAGATTAAAAATAAATTCATCATTTTCCACACAGATTCTTCACACACACAAAATAAATAAATGAAGCTGTACACATTACATGAGTCACAACTTTAATTGCCAACAGTTAACTTTACTGTTAACTTTAACGTTTTCTTATTGGTTTCCTAAGAATATTATCCCGAGAATTGATTTAAAATGGATCTTTATAGTACAATGTAAACCTAGATGTGCAAGCTCTCACGCAAAAATTAATCAGTATTTAGCCAACTACCTACTTTTAAACTTAATCTAGAAACGAGGACATTGCATATTTTAAATGATGCCGAGAGATACAAAATATGTATAAGTGCTGAGGAGAGGAAAAACCAAAGACCAAGGCGTAGTGACGCTTTAAAGTCAAGGCTGTGTCCTAAAATTGAATGACTAGTTTTAGAGTTAAGAGATGTCTATATTTTAGTGAGCACACTGCAACATAAACTTTAACATTTAATACAAAAGTGCAAAACAGTTATACCAATAGTATTTTAGTATTATTTCTTTTTTTAACATTCTTACTAATAGTGCCAAAGTTGAACGTCTTATTTATACAGTTTGCAATGCCGGAACCCTTTTAAAATTATATTATTTTCTTTTAAAGAATTCTGAATTATAAATATATATTTTGACATGGTTTTTTACAGTCTTGCTGTTCAAGAAACCGGTAAAATATTCGTCAACTCATTTCTCCATTTAAAATCAATAAATGAAAACTACGGCGGAGTTTCTAAATTCTCCCTTCATTCCTCCGCCGCTATAATAGAAACAGAACGTGTAAAGGCGGATAAAGGGCGAAAAAGAATGGCGGTTACAAATCTTGAAGTTTTAGATCCTGTCTATACTCAAGGTAAAACAATATTTTTAAAACAATGGTGATTCATGTAAATTCATAATATAATAAACTGCTGGACTTTTAAAAATACCGACCTACAGGGTCACCCAGAGAAGGTTAAGAATGTAATGACGAGCTAAAACTCATTAATGCAACAATCTAAAGATAAGAAATATTTCGTACAAATAATTGCCTCTTTAGTCTTCTCCTCTGAGGGTGACCATATATGCTATGTAAAATGTCACGTATCAACAATTTTTTAAAGCCCATTTGTCATTTAAGAATTCATTTAGTGCTTTTTTTTTACATTAATGGTTCCCTGGATTCGTAAATGTTTTCTTCTCTTGCTTAACCATTTGATTCACTAGCAGAAGGCTATATTTCAGAAAGAAAACAAATTTCCCCTGAACAGATCATGTCTTGTACCTTTTACTTCCTTTGAACACTATAATGATAACATCTCTTTATCTGTGCAGCACTACAAACAAGAAAATGGCAGAAATTACCCCCATTTTCAGAAAACAAAACTATGATTACAGTTGACATTATTTTCTCAGTAATTGTTGTAAATATCTGGGTTTCAGAATTAAACAAAGGTCTCTTCAGATTCCATAAACAATCTTTTTCAAGAGTTAATGCACAGGGTTACCCACAAAAGATGAGACTGTAAAGACGACCCAAAACTAATATTTTGACGATATAAAGCTTTATTTTTGGTTTAGCCATTTAATTGAGTATTTTGATAGTTTACTAAATGGTTATGCACAGAAGTAAACCAGTTTTGGCCTTCAAGATACCCTAAATGTAAGAAAACGGACTAGGCAAATTCCGTACAATCATCTCTGTAGTCTCATCCTTTTTGGTTGACCCTGTAGCTAGACAAAGCGACAGAAAAGTTTTTATTTTTTATTTATTGAACTAAACCTGTTAGGTCCTGGGCAAGGTATATTGTGTGGTTCAACTGAATGCAACAAGTATGCTAGCTGTAGTATGGTGTTTGCTGAACAATATCAAGCTTTATGCCAGGAATATACAGACATTTTATACCTTTCAGGACATTTTATACCTTTCTGCAGGACATTTTATACCTTTCAGGACATTTTATACCTTTCAGGACATTTTATAACCTTTCAGGACATTTTATACCTTTCAGGACATTTTATATATTTAAATCCTTTGTTATTCTACCCTTTGGCAAATTTCAAGCAAGTAACTTTTTATGATGATAATGTAACATTTTTTATCAAAACATTAATAGCAAACTCTTTTGAGAAAATCTTTTTATTTATTATTTGTAAATTAAATTTGACTAAAATGGTTTCTGTAAATACATGTTATACAGTGTCCAGCTGGATTCTCAGGAGATGGGGTTAATACCTGTGAACCTACACAGTTGAAACCTTCATGTCAAACAGGTTTATATATATACACAGTTTAAACCTTCACATCAGTAGGTTTATGTATAGTACTCAGCTTAAACCTTCACATCAGTAGGTTTATGTATGTACTCAGCTTAAACCTTAATGTCAGGCTGCAGATTTTTGTTTACTCAGAATAATTTATGTTCTGCATGGATATAAGTCTGATGTTTTATATTATGTAAAAAGAACGAAACTTTTTAAAACCAAGGAAACCCGACATCAAATCTAATTTGATTTGCTGGGTAAACTGAATGTATTCAAAATGTCGAGAGCGATGTTTCGTGATTTCAGAGTAATATCATTTTAATATTTTATACTTTACAATAATTTATAGATAACTATTATTTTGCTTTTAGATGAAGATTGTGGCGGTAATGCAGACTGTGTTTATGAGGAAAATTACATTTTTAACAATTTTTTCATCGCAATTTTTTTAAAAAATAGTAAAAAATCTTTAAGCTTAAGGAAGAATTTGATTAAACTGGTAATCTAGACTCAGGGATTGATGTATACCTGTCTGTGTAAACCTGGATACTCAGGGGACGGATATATCTGTGCTTCAGATATACCAGCCTTCGATACAGGTGAATATTATATATATATATACCTGTATACTCAGATATATCTGTGCTTCAGATATACCAGCCTTTAACACAGGTAAATACTATATATAAACCTGGATACTCAGATATATCTGTGCTTCAGATATACCTGCCTTTCATACAGGTGAATATGATATATACCTGGATACTCAGATATCTGTGCTTCAGATATACCAGCCTTTAATACAGGTAAATACTATATATAAACCTGGATATTCAGATATATCTGTGCTTCAGATATACCACCAGCCTTTAATACAGGTGAATATGATATATACCTGGATATTCAGGTATCTGTGCTTCAGATATACCAGCCTTTAATACAGGTTAATATGATATATACCTGGATACTCAGATATCTTTGCTTCAGATATACCAGCCTTTAATTCAGGTAAAAACTATATATAAACCTGGATATTCAGATATATCTGTGCTTCAGATATACCACCAGCCTTTAATACAGGTGAATATTATATATACCTGGATATTCAGATATATCTGTGCTTCAGATATACCAGCCTTTAATACAGGTGAATACTATATATATACCTGGATACTCAGATATCTGTGCTTCAGATATACCAGCCTTTAATACAGGTGAAGATTTTATATATATACCTGGATATTCAGATATCTGTGCTTCAGATATACCAGCCTTTAATACAGGTGAATACTATATATATACCTGGATACTCAGATATCCAGATATACCAGCCTTTAATACAGGTGAAGATTTTATATATATACCTGGATATTCAGATATCTGTGCTTCAGATATACCAGCCTTTAATACAGGTAAATACTATATATAAACCTGGATACTCAGATATATCTGTGCTTCAGATATACCAGCCTTTAATACAGGTGAATATTATATATATACCCGAGATGGAATTTAAAGAATTTGAGCCGCGGTTTAAATTCGGCAAAATCCGCCAAAACCCGGTTTAAATTTAGCGCCGGCTTAAATCTTGAAACATTTGATATGGAACCAACCATATTTAAGCCGCGGCTTAAATTTAAACCGCCGCTCAAATTCTTTAAATTCGGCCACTGGATACTCAGATATATCTTCAGCCATATTCTAATTATGCTTGTTTAAGATGAGCCAACTCGAAGACGACCTGATGTGCCGGTATCCCTAGAACCTGTTGTACACCATGCAACCCTTGAACCAGAGTGTATATATGGAGTATGTACATGTACAGCAGGGTACATATTTAACGGAGAGCACTGTATCGAGGAGAAGTTAAGACAAAAAACTACTTGTACTGCAGATATAGACTGTATGGAGAACCAGCAGTGTCGGTTTAACAGGTAGTAAATATAGATTCAAGAACAACCAGCTTTTCAATTGAGCATGGCGTACACAGGGTAAATTTAGGTTTTAATTTGCCGTTTTTAGAAAATTGGGTTTGAAATATCGTCCAAGAAGAATTCTACTTTGTCTTAACGGAAACCTGTAAAAAGGCGATAAAAGAATAATGTTAACATCAAAATTTTAAAAATGGACCCAAAACTGTATGTTTTTATTCTAAATTGAGTTGTTTATCTAACATCAGCTTGTCTCCGGATCATATTTTCAGTGATATGTTAAATATTGTCACAAACACTAAACCAACTACAGAATGAAAAACTACCATATTATTAAATCTATCCATTGAATAATGTTTCAGCAAACAAGGATCCTTACTTCAAACCCCATTCACTTAAACGGCTTCTCATCAGATTTGGTTAAGACCTGTTTTGAAATACGTAAACCCTATATTTTCCATTTTAAAAAAATTGGAAGTTTAAGCTCCAAGGAAACATAAAACCTATTTTGGTCAGTTTGGCTTTAAAAGAAAGGGGTTTCATTTCAACCAATTATTTTTTTTAACTTCTGGACTAGAACTTTTGTTTTCCAGCTTGGCGCAGTCAAAAATGCTGGCGTTGAGAAATTGGGAATAGCATTTCACATAGTTAAAACCTCGTTAATTCGTTCAAAGCACGCACACCTTGGACAGCTTTCCGGAATTTTGGTGTATCTGGAATCTGATTTTTTTTTCTGTGCAAATCACTGTTTGCACAACACGCTAAGCTTATGTTGAGGGTAAGATGTATAAAACTATATCTAAAATAGAATTGCGGACCCTTTTTATATTCAGCTTTTATCACCTTAAACCTAAAAATCCCATGTGTCTAAAATCTAAAGTTCTAAAAAAGTTCATCAAGGCGAATTTTTGCGACATGTTAGCAGTTTTTCCATTGTCACTTTTCTGTAAAAAAATCAATTCCGAAAGAAAAATGATTTTTTAAAGATAGGTAAGCTTTTGTATTGACATGTTCTTATAGAACACTGCAGTAACGGTAAGCTGGATAATTCATTCAGAAAAGTTTAAGTTTAAAAGTTGAGATTTGGATTTTTTATCAATCCAATATTTTCAAATCTATGTTTTCTAGGTTAGAGGGAAGACGAGTGTGTGCTTGTAAACCAGGATATAGAGAAGATAGAGAACTATGTTTAATAAATCCGGATGCAGGTCAGCATACAGGGGTCACGTCTTATCCCTTAGGTGGTGAAGAAGGGGGGGGGGGTGGAAACCAGTGTATAGGGAAGAAGGCGAACTATGCAGGTCTGCATACAGGGGTCATGTGTTATCGCTTGGGTGGTGAAGGAGGGGGGGAGGGGGGTGCAAACCTGTATATATATGTTGCGTATAATCGGCCAAACGGCTGGACCGATTGGGCTGAAATTTTTAGCGGACACTCAAGGGTGACCGGGGGTGTTAATATAGGCTAAAGAAAATTCGATTTTTTTTTCAAATTTTTTTTTCTTCAAAATATTTTTTTTCAATTTTTTTCCATGGGTAACGCCGGGCCCTTCCGCTAGTGCTTAATAAATCCGGATGCAGGTCAGCATACAGGGGTCACATGTTATACATTGAGTGCAGAATGGCGAGAAAGGGTGGGAGGTGAACCAGGTATATATGGGCCCACTGCAGGACAGGGGTAACATTGATAGGAAATGTAACATACAGAAAACTAAGGAAAGATTTAGCCATTAAACAAAATTGTCAAATCATCACTAGTAATATAATTAAGAAAACGGTCTATATATAGTAATACTTAAGAAAACAGTTTATATATAGTAATATTTAAGAAAACGGTCTATATATAGTAATACTTATGAAAACAGTCTATAAATAATGAGTTTTAAAATACAATCTATTATAGTGATATTTAAGAATGCGTATACATATCCTTTCGTGTCACAGTAAATCTACTTTGAAATGAAATTTTTTCCAATTTATCCAAAATTGATTAGAATTTTTAGAATTACATGATTGTATCTTGTTTAGGTTGTGATATCCTGAACAACTGCCATACTCAAGCTAAATGTGAAAGATCAAGAGAGTCTAGAAAGTTTATCTGCAGGTTTGAATACCTTTAATTTTGAACATCATCGTCACGAGATTAAAATAAAAATAAAAAATAAAAAACTTAAGTTTACCTCAAACTCTCTTTAAATAGCAAAATGAAACAACCCAATTTATCTTATTCTGAAAAAACTTCCTCCATGCATAAAAATTACTTATTCAAAAATACGGCCTTAAAAACAATTATGATCGTTTTTGAGAAACGTTATAAAGAGAAAAATAGAAAATTTTTGAGTTTTTTCCAACAAACTCAAATTTACTAATCCCTGTCGGTGTAAACCTTTGATATATTTAAAAACTTTAATTATTTGGTCTAACTATATTCATTGTTTGAAATATCAAAGGTCTCCGAAATTGGGTTGCTAAGATATAGGGATTAGAAAATCAGAGTTTCTTTTTTAAAATTTCCATGCAGACAATGTCGAGTTCGTTAAGTATTCTGAACGTATTGTGGCTTCTAAGCTAAGAGATAATTCAATATGATATGGGGCACTCTGGGGGAACGATTTGGGAAACGCACTCTATATTATGAGTATGATATGTTTGTTAAAGATGTAAATCTGGATATACTGGTAACGGAACTCTGTATTATGAGTTTGATATGTTTGTTAAAATGTGAATCTGGATATACTGGTAACGGAACGTACTCTGTATTATGAGTTTGATATGTTTGTTAAAGGTGTGAATCTGGATATACTGGTAACGGAACGTACTGCGAGAAAGAGCAGATGATCGGTTGTAATTTACTAAACAATTGTGGAAAGTACGCTAGCTGTATATTTAATGAAGAAGACAGGGGGTTCAGGTTATTTTAAATTTAATTTTAATATCGTCGTTTTTCTAGCTTAAAATTTTTTTTTGGACAATTCAACGCATTTTATTGCTGAAATAGAAATCCACAAGTGACTTCAGAGAAACCACAACAAAACTAATCTATTTTTTTAAGTAAAACTGATATCTCATTTATTCTCAATTTTATAATTTAAGAGTATCGTCGCGCTGTGAGTCGAACCCTTCTTAAAGTAAAAGTATCTTTGCAAGTAAATCTCTATTTTTAAATATTTAGTTTTATTTATATTAAAATTTTTAAACCGTTTCTCACAACGAACAAAATATTTAAAGGCACAAGAAACTCTGTCTTGTAAAAATCTTAGCTTCTAAATCTGAACGTTATTCTAAATGCATGCACTCTTCATTCGTACGTTTAGAAAATATCGCAAACTTTCCCTTTTTAAACTTTTTTTTTCAAAATCAAGAACAGTTTGTTCAGAGAATTGAAATTCTGAATCGACCTGAAACTATTTACAAACTACAGAACCAAAATTCGGGGTCTGATCGGTTCAGCCGTTTCATTAAATCGGCTCAATATCCAGGTGTACGTGTGACGAAGCACGCGGATTTCTTGGTGACGGATTCTCATGTTCTCCCGCAGCACCCTGTACACACAACCCAGCAGTCTGCGATCCTAATTCAGGAATATTCTAGATAATCCACAGTGATTTCATTTCAAACCGAGGACGGGGTGGCAGATCGGGATTTACTAAACACTTCGCACTATATAAACTATAACAACACGTCAAAAAGCCGGGATGTTTTTCACATCTTTTAAAGTCACAAATATTACTAACTTTCTGCTTAGTATTGCAGCTACTACTATGCTTGCGTATAAGTTTAGTTGAAGGGGCACCCCCCAATATTGTTAAAGCAATTATTAAATTAGTGTTTTTTTCAAGAAAAAAACTTTTTTTTTCAAAATTACCATAATTTCAAAATTTGGAAAATGTTAAGAATTGTTTGATCAGATTGTTTCCCGTCCAGGGACTCTACTCATGGATGCAGGTCAGAAAATTCATTTTAATTTAAAAAAGACGAGTTCTGAATATTAAAATTAATATTTTTTTCTAATGATTTAAAATACAGTTCTATATATGTCTTGGATAAATGCTAGGTTTGTTTAAATAATAGAAAATATGATTTTCCTCTGGTTTAAAAAATACTATATTAAATTTTCCCCTGTTTTAAAGAATACAATCTCTAATTACCTCTGTTTTAAATAATACAATCTCTAATTACCTCTGGTTTAAATAATACAATCTCTACATTCTCTAATTATTTAAATAATACAATCTCTAATTACCTCTGGTTTAAATAATACAATCTATAATTTTCCCTAGTTTATATAATACAATCTCTAATTAACTAAGGTTTATAAAATACAATCTATAATTATATCTACTTCAAATAATACAAACTCTAATTCCTTTGGTTTAAATAATACAATCTCTAATTTTCTCTGGTTTCAATCTCTAATTACCTCTGGTTTAAAAAATACAATCTCTAATTTTCTCTGGTGTCAATAATACAATCTTTAATTACCTCTGGTTTAAAAAATACAATCTCTAATTACCTCTGGTTTAAATAATATAATCTCTAATTACCTCTGGTTTAAATAATACAATCTCTAATTGTTTTTTGTTTAAATAATACATTTTTTAATTACCTCTGGTTTAAATAATACAATCTCTAATTACCTCTGGTTTAAATAAAACAATCACTAATTGTTTTTGGTTTTAATAATACAATTTTTAATTACCTCTGGTTTAAATAATACGATCTCTATTAACTCTGGTTTATAAAATACAATCTCTAATTATCTCTACTTTAAATAATACAAACTCTAATATCCTTTGGTTTAAATAATACAATCTCTAATTACCTCTGGTTTCAATAATACAATCTCTAATTATCTCTGGTTTAAAAAATACAATCTCTAATTTTCTCTGGTTTCAATAATACAATCTTTAATTACCTCTGGTTTAAAAAATACAATCTCTAAATTTTTCTTGTTTAAAAAATACAAAAATTTCCTCTAGTTTCAATAATACATTGTCTAATTACCTCTGGTTTGAATAATTCAATCTTTTATTCAGAATTTATTAACTTTAGGTGTAAGCAGAATTTCTTCGGAGACGGATTAAGCTGTGAGCCAGTTCCAAGGTTTGAGGGAAACCAACTTATCCTAGCTCAGGGTATATCCATCATCAAGGTTCCTTTTAGTGGTCGTGGATCCAAACCTATTAACATTCAATCCAAACAGGTTTATTTTTACTCTGTAAACCTATTAATATACAATTCAAACAGGTTTATTTTTACTCTCAAAACCTATTAATATACAATTCAAACAGGTTTATTTTTACTCTCTAAACCTATTAGTATACAATTTAAACAGGTTTATTTTTACTCTCTTAAACCTATTAATATACAATTCAAACAGGTTTATTTTTACTCTCAAAACCTATTAATATACAATTCAAACAGGTTTATTTTTACTCTCTTAACTTATTAATATACAATCCAAACAGGTTTATTTTTACTCTCTAAACCTATTAATATACAATCCAAACAGGTTTATTTTTACTCTCTAAACCTATTAATATACAATTTAAACAGGTTTATTTTACTCTCTAAACCTATTAATATACAATCCAAACAGTTTAATTTTTACTCTCTAAACCTATTAGTATACAATTTAAACAGGTTTATTTTTACTCTCTTAACCTATTAATATACAATCCAAACAGATTTATTTTTACTCTCTTAACCTATTAATATACAATTCAAACAGTTTTATTTGTACTCTCTAAACCTATTAATATACAATCCTAACAGGTTTATTTTTACTCTCTAAACCTATTAATATACAATCCAAACAGATTTATTTTTACTCTCTTAACCTATTAATATACAATCCAAACAGGTTTATTTTTACTCTCTAAACCTATTAATATACAATTCAAACAGGTTTATTTTACTCTCTAAACCTATTAATACACAATCTAAACAGTTTTATTTGTACTCTCTAAACCTATTAATATACAATTTAAACAGGGTTATTTTTACTCTCTAAACCTTTTAGTATACAATTTAAACAGGTTTATTTTTACTCTCTAAACATATTAATATACAATCCAAACAGGTTTATTTTTACTTTCTAAACCTATTAATGTACATTCCAAACAGTTTAATTTTTACTCTCTAAACCTATTAATATGCAATTTAAACTGGTTTATTTTTACTCTCTAAACCTATTAATATACAATCCAAGGAGGTTTATTTTTACTTTCTAAACCTATTAATATACAATTGAAACAGAAATATTTTTTTCTTTCTAAATATAAACTGTATATTTTATTATCTAGCTAGTTGCAGGGGTATATATAGACTCTATATACTATTATCTAGCTGGTTGCTGGGGAATGTATAAACTGTATAAACTATTATCTAGTTGGCTGCAGGGGTAGATATAGACTGTAGCCGGGGAAAACTGTACTGGAGTGATACCACCAATAAACTAATCAGTATGTCCAGTATAGACGGTTCTGGAGTAGAAGTTTTTCTAGCAGACGGATTTAGGAACAGGACTTATTTCAAAATATCAAGTGGTTTAAAACCCAGAGAAGGATTGTCTCAATTATTTACCTTTTTTAAAATTCATTTTATTTTGCATTGAAAAAAATAGTTCTTTACAACAAATTTCTGGGTAACTCTGGAATTTATGCAATTTTTGGATTAAGATTTTCGAATTTTCTACCACAGATGTTATTCATCATGAATAGTGAATCTCATTCATAGATGTAAGATAAATTTTACGGTTTCATTTGAGTTCCATGCATTTTTTCCTTTTAAACAATTTAAAAAAATCTTAAATAGTTAAAAAAAGTCTATGGTTGGAAATTTATGATTTTCTAAGTTAAGTATTGTTAACCTCTAGTTTCCCTGAAGGGTTAGCAGTAGACTGGGTCTCCAGGAACCTGTATATAACAGACCCTGGAGCAGAAACTATACATGTCATCAGTCTAGATAATAAAATCAGGTCGGTCAAAGGGACAGATCAATAAAACGAAATATAATCTAAGATTAACCATGATTGAATTATGAATCGTTGGTCATATTTTTAATCTTATCCGATTTTTCTCTGGAGAAAGCTTTTAAGAAACCGGCCCCAACCAGTTCACAGGGTCACCCATAAAAAATGAGACTTTTTTCCGGTTTCTTTCAGCTTTATTCTTGTTTATTTTTTTCAAAGTAATTTTTTTACCATTAAAAAACATGCATATTTTCATTGGACAATGCAATGCACATGCACAAGGCAATTAAGAAAAATAAACTTTGAAATTTAATCATTCACAGAGTTTAGGTCGTCATTTAGATTTGTTTCTTTGTTCGTAACCCTGTGTTTAACTTCAGGTATAAAATAGTAGAGGATCGTATGGATTCCCCCAGAGGGATTGCGGTACACCCAAGCTTGGGGAAAATCTACTGGACGGATTGGGATCGGTATGGATCAAGGATAGAGATGGCAAACATGGACGGATCCGGGAGACAGGTTTCTTTCTTAAAATATTAGATAGATTTTTGTATAGCTTCTGATTTTGGAGAACGTGAACCCAAGAAAGAATTTAGATTCTAGTTGAAACTGGAGTACGGAAACCTAACTATATCAAGGTTCTAGTTAATACTGGAGAAGGTAAACCCAACTGTAACTAGGTTCTAGTTGATATTGGAAAAGGTAAACTTAACTATATCTAGGTTCTAGTTGATACTGGAGTAGGTGAACCCAACTATATCTAGGTTCTTGTTGATACTGGATTAGGTGAACATAACTATATCTAGGTTCTAATTAATACTGGAGTAGGTGAACCCAACTATATCTAAGTTCTTGTTGATACTGGAGTAGGTGAACCTAACTATATCTAGGTTCTAGTTGATACTGGAGTAGGTGAACCTAACTATATCTAGGTTCTAGTTGATACTGGAGTAGGTGAACCCAACTATATCTAGGTTCTAGTTGATACTGGAGTAGGTGAACCCAACTATATCTAGGTTCTAGTTGATACTGGAGTAGGTGAACCTAACTCTATAGCAGTAGATTACTTCAACTACGAAGTATGTTGGACAGATGCTGGTAGATCAGACCGAAATATTAAACCCAAAATAGGTAAAGACCTTAAATAATCTATTTTACGAAACTATGCTTTATTCACTTTTTGAAAATAAACCAAAATTTTAAAATGTTCACAAAATTTAATCATAGACATTTTTTGAGATTTCTTTTCGTAGATTGTATTGGAGCAAACGGCAACGGAAGAAGAACAGTAGCTGAACTGGTACCTGGAGATTATCCTTATGGGATTTCTATTACGCAGGATAGAATTCTTTGGACAGATTGGAGGAAGTAAATATTTCACTATTTCTCTTAATGTGTATCAAACAATCATTAAAATTTTCTTCTTTGAACAGATTCTTTTTGCCAGCATAGTTTTTGCGTTTAACACCTAAATAAATTTAAATAATATTGTAAGCATATTCTTCTTTTGCCATTAAAATTAGATCATCCATGTTAAACTTATACACATAAGAACCTATGAAAATGGAATCCACATATATTTGTTTACAAAATAAGTTTACTACAGTATCTGGGAGGAATATAAACAAAACTTGATCTGATTTTCACATTCATTGCAGATCTTTGTAGCAATATAGTTATTAGTTACCAGTAATTCAAATATAGAGGATTGTAAAAAACTTTCAAAAGGGATGATTTTGAGTTAAGAGTTTGTTCAATGAATAGAAATATGTCTTTTACCTCTATATTAAGTTTAGACAATTTTTTTGTATACAATATACACATAATTGCCAACAACTTAACGTAAAACAAAAATAAAACTATAAAAAAGACCAGAACAAGAAAGATTAATATTATTTTGTTGGTAGATTTAATCCTTTATTATGAAGACGATATAATTTCCCCTGCAGAGTTCTAATATTTGAATTCCATTATTTTTAACTTTTATTTTTGTTCAGAAAGTTTGTGCATAGTGTGGATAAAAGTACAGGTGTACGACAGAGGTCTATACCGTACATTCTAGCAGTGATGGGTAAACCCTACGATATTGTAGATGTACAAGAGGAGTGTCCCAATTTATCCAATACATGTCAGGTATTCCATATTGTATATGTACAAGAGGAGTGTCCCAATATATCCAATACATGTCAGGTATTCCATATTGTATATGTACAAGAGGAATGTCCCAATATATCCAAACCATGTCAGGTATTCCATATTGTATATGTACAAGAGGAGTGTCCCAATATATCCAATACATGTCAGGTATTCCATAATGTATATGTACAAGAGAAGTGTCCCAATATATCCAATACATGTCAGGTATTCAATATTGAACGTGATCATTTTTGAGAAAACAATAAGTTCTTTGAAAAAAAGTTTTCAGATATAAAGTCCTTGATTTTGGCACTTAAAAAAGTTCTGTGGAATAAAGTCCTGGAAAAAAAGTCTCTGGAAATAAAGTCCTACCAACCATTTTGAGACTTTTTTTTCTGGTTCCAGTATGATTTTATGCACAAAAAGTCCCAGGAATCTAAAACTCAGGACTTTATTACCAGTGACATTTGTCGAAGGACTTCAGAAAATTGGAACATTTTTCCAGAAACTTTTTTTCTTCTAACTTTCTTACTACATAAATTTTATATTTTCTATTTAACTTAATTGCGGTTTCTAATACTTTCAATTTCTTTTCAGAATAAAATAAAGACGATTACTTTCTCATTGTTACTCAGATAAAGAGTTCAAAGAACCGGTTTTGTGAATAGGAAGATGTAATTTTTTAAATGAAGCTTTAGAGACTTGGAATTACGTTGACAGTCCCTTTACCATACAAAGACGACATTCTGCAGCACATGTGTTTAATTGTTTTGAAATGGAGCTTTAGAGACTTGGAATTACGTTGACAGTCCCTTTAACATACAAAGACGACATTCTGCAGCACATGTGTTTAATTGTTTTGAAATGGCGGTCCGACTCGATTCCCAATCCTCGTGATCTACAACGAATAAACACAGTTTATCTAAATAATAAAGCTCTTTGCTCACATACAAATATACATAGAGAATAGAATATATATTAGAGAGGAATTAAAAGAATTTCTCGGTATGAATTTGTTCAGTCCCTTTCAGCCTGAAAGGGAGTTCAAAGTATACAAATCATGTAAATGTTCACAAATTATGTGCAGTATAGAGTACATTAATACAGTTGTTCTCTAGACTATTCATTTCAGTTTCGAAATTTTTAAAGCTGTTAAATAAACTCTATAATGAATTAGGTGAATAAAAACCATCATTTGATTTATAGTTGTAACGGAAAATCATCGTTTGTAAGGTGAAAGGCACATAGAGTTGTGAAATGATCATTGGTCAATTATGAAACTAGCCTATTTCATAATTTGGTTTTCTTTTATAACATTAATTTCAGACTTTCTATAAAATGATAATCCAGGGCCCAAAAGGTTAAATAGCATAAATATGTGAAGTACACCTGCAGTATGGAAACAGTACAACAAAATGGCCGTTTTACACTTTTTTCTAGTAAATTCCCCTCTATATATATATTCTATTCTCTATGCATATATATGTATGTATATATGTTTGCTATAGCCAAGAATGTTAGGCAAGGAAAGTTTATTGAGGTCGTGTATACTCTGCGTACATATTGAAACCAGTTCTCTTTGGGCGGAATTTGTAAACAAGAATAGATGCATCAGTATTCGTTTAGTATCCGGGGAGGTTAAAAGTATTAAATTTTGATAATTTTGATAATTCACATAATAGTTTCCTATGACCAGAATATTTCATCGATTTTTTATGTGAAAGATGGATCCCATTTCAGGCTTCGACATTCGTCTTGTGTTTACATTACCGCCCAGAGACAGTACACTGCAGTACAAAAGATGTGTACACTTCTGAAATTTCTTTCCTTGCCTTATAATCCTTGGCTATAGCTCGCCAAGCGGATGGACCGAATGGGCTGACATTTTTTGAGGAAACCCATGGGTTTCCAGAGAGTAACAAAAAATAAAAAAATCGATTTTTTCTTCAAAAATCGAAATTTTTCTTTAAATTTTTTTTAATTTTACGGGTAACGCCGAACACTTCAGCTAGTAATTGATATAATAATGATTATTTTTAGGGCCAGCCCTGTGGATTGAACAGAATGTGTTTACCTAATGGTGAGGGAAGTCACACCTGTCGTTAATAATTCGTTTTAATACAGTGGTCGACGTTTATTTCAATACAATGAAGACGACTTTTCCATTTAATTTTTAATTTTTAGCAAGCTTTTTTTAAATAACAAATTTACAAGTAAACAAAGAGAAGCTGGTCATTACAAGCTTATCTTTGTTCCCCCGTGTTTATGTGTATCGATACTACTTGAAAGATTAGTAGATTTAAAGAATTTAAATCGAAAGTCGTCGTCATTGCATTGATATATACGACGATGACTGCAGCTAAAACTTGCCAACTGTATAGTTCTCGAAAAAAATAGATATTCTATTCTTTATGTGTTAACTTTTTAATTTTTAGATTTATATAATGTCACTTTTTTGTTGAAATTATTCTAATGAAATAATTTTTTGTTGACACAAAAAAAAACTATAAAATAAAGCACCTGCTTAATAATTAATGCATCACTTGGAGGCACAACACAGGGCTGATCATTTAAACTTTGCTATATGTTTTAATTTCGGTTGTAACTTTTTGTTGAAAATCTAACTAAAATTCATTTTTAGAAAATTCATTTCAACGTAAACCTAGGTTGTATCTCTAAAAAGGTGTCGCTAGTGTTGAAATATAAAACTTTATGTGAGTGATAAATCGGATATAAAAGAGAAATAACATTTTACTCAATATCAGGATACAGGATACAAGGATACCAGGATACTAGGATACCAGGATACCAAGATCTTGCTATCTATCTATCGATATATCTTCATTTATTTTAAATCTCAGCTCCAGTTGAGACAAAACTCACCTAGCCAAATAATCTGTTTATTAAACCATCTTCAGAGCATTCTTAGTCAGTATCGATCAAAGATCTATCAATCTATTCTACATAACTTTCTACCTATCTTTCAATCTATCTATATATCTTTCAATCTATCTATCTATCTTTCTATTTATCTATCTATCTATCTATCTATCTTTCTATGAATCTATCTATCTATCTGTCCATCTATCTATCTATCTATCTAGATCTAACAATACCTACTAGTATATTCCTGTACTCCCCTTCTCTTTGTGTAAAAGTGCAAGTTGTTCCCCATCTTCTCCCAATTCAATTTTCCTATTATACAGAGGTAAAAGGATATCAACGGAGTTCTTATATCGGGCCCTGGATTCTCTTTCCAGATAATTTCTTTGTGGCAAAACATTCATTTTAACGGAAAGAGTTACCCCTAAAAAATCTGATTTTATTTACAAAATCAACCTTTTCCAAAAGTTTATTTCTTCTGTATTGAATATAATCTTTTAAGTACGCATTCAAATACATCCCTAGAATCTCCCTAGAAGGGGCGGATTCAATTAATGTACTGTCCTGTTTTGCCTATGTGTGTAACTGTACAGCTTGCTCTTGCTGCTGAAAATAAAAAAATAATATAAAAGTTCCAGGGCCCTTGGTACGAACTGAATATGATTGGCGGGAAATTTCGCTGATTTGTGACACATATTGCATTCAGCAGACTATTCTTAGATCTTGCTGTACATAAACCTTAGTTTTTTAATATTTGGATTTTAAAAATCTGGTTTGGCTGCAGCTATAGCTGACACATACATATATATACACAAATATACAAATACAAATAAATAAATATGAGCAAAGAACTTTATTTCATAGATTTAAAAGGATATAAAAAATAAATAAAGGTACAATGTGCCTTCCCTTCCTTTCATTAAGGAGGTCACTACTAAGAAAGTTCTATAAACATTTTTTTTTTGAAAAAGTCCTGAAATTTGGCACTTACAAAATCATGTGGAAAAAGTCCTCAAAATCTAATCTAATCTCTAATCTAATAATTTATTTTTCCTTTGAAAATATGACAGGTTGTGCATAAAAATTACAAATCTATATGATTTCTATTAATTATCAACGGAAGGAGACCAGCCATAGCAGAGCTGTTTTCAGGTTGGTCTTCTGGCATTTACCGTGGTATCAATTAGACCTGAATTGATGTGGTACGTCGTGGGACTGGGTTTGGAGAAGATGGAGGAACAGGGTCAGATCTGCTCAATTAACATGTTATAAATTTGGTTCTTGATTTGAGACAGTAGGCAGAAAACAGAAACAGAGGCGCCAGGAACTATTCATAATTTTTTTGCGTTGCAAAAAAAACTGAAAAAAAACTTAACCTTTTAGGATATTTTTGTTCCAGTACGATATCATACCAAAATATCCTTAGAGAAAAAGTTCATTATTGATAAAAATGCATGTTTAAGCATGCAGAAAAAGTCCGTTTCTGATAATTGGGTACATTGTCAATTGTACCCAACAATAATGGGCCCATAAGATAAATCTAAATAGCTAAAGAGGAATAAAAGCACCACTAGAAGCCTAATTGTACATTTGGCTGTCTCAATTTGTACATTGCACATATATTTGGCTAATTAACCATGTTCAAATTTCCCAGGTCTTACGTCTTTTTTTCCTCGAACAGTTCCTTCAGTACATTGATTCCTGTGATCTTATTTCCTGAGACATTATTGGCAGCCCACATATTAATATTTTAGGAAAGAAACGTCTCTGGACTACAGAAAATTGAAACTTTTTTCCCCAAGTTTTGTTTTTAGTTTTTTCACTCAGAAACTTTTTTTCCCGTGACTTTCTTACATAGAATCTGCAAGGAGGGGTATTCATATAGAAAAGTGCGAAAAAAATTCTGCTGTGATTTAATATTGGCCAAAGAGCAGGTTGCAACAAAAAAATATATTTATACTGATAACTGGTTATACTTATAGACTCGATTCTTTCTTTGTCATCAAGCTGAATCAAGAATCTTATTTAATTCATAACTGTATTCCCAAATTTCTTCAAATGTCGTCTTAACAACGTAATCTCAGAAAGGTAATGTTACATCGTCTATACGCAACATCCCCCCTACTGAACTTCTGACCTACTAACTTTCCGACCTACTGCAATATCGGACCTACGCCAGCTGTTTATTTTACTATTATTTGAGGGTTAGGTTAGGAAAAGACAATTTCTGGGCCGAGCGTTGCGGCTAGGACAGGCTAGGGGGCCGAGCGCCGCGGCTAGGACAGGCTAGGGGGCCGGGCACTGCGGCCACAAGTCCATATAGCAGCTGTAATACCACGTGCTAGTAGGTCGGATGTGTAGTATAGCGGATATGTGTAGGTCGAAAAATACACCACCCTCAGAAAACCTGTCTTGTACGTAAATCTGAGTTGTATTTCTGAACTCCCAGTTCTGTAGATTATCAAGGGAATGTGCAAGTTGTATTTCTGAACTCCTAGTTCTGTAGATTATCAAGGGAATTTGCAAGTTGTGTTTCTGAACTCCTAGTTCTGTAGATTATCAAGGGAATTTGCAAGTTGTATTTCTGAACTCCTAGTTCTGTAGATTATCAAGGGAATGTGCTGCGTCACAAGGATCCAGAGTTTTCAAATTTAATCCTTCCAATCTGAATCCTTTGTTCATCAAAAGCCAAAATGAATTTATTCCATATAAACCTCTTCTTTATGTCAAATAAGACTTGGCCGCTTAAGAATATTTTTGAGAGAAGTATCTAAGATGTATTAATGTCATGTTTAGTTAAGAATTTCCACAGAAAACTCAGTATTTAATTGAAAACTGTTAAAATAGGATTTTTCAACACGTTACTCTAACTAAATAATGGATTTGGGATGCTGCTGGAGCCCTTGGATATTTTCTATATGGCTGTTAGAAATTAGAATCTATTTACATATTCAGATTATCCCGAAACCCCTGTGCTTTTTTTGTGCTTTTCTAATAAAATATATGTTTTTCTTCCGAAATACTCGCTGTAACAAAGACGACATATAAATATATTGGGGGATTACAGGATCCATTCAAGGATAAATGTATGAATGGGAAAAGTAATTATAAATTGAAATCATAAATCAATGCTAGCTACAATTCATACAATTTAAAATTTGGTGATGGTGATGGACCAAACCTCTGTAGAGTAAAAAAAGTAGATGTTAGGTCCACATAATGTTTGTTAATGAAAAGATTATCAGAATATATTTATTTTGTTTATTCTCACCGTGAAACACACGACAAATGCATTTTAAGAGGCTAGTATTGTGACAAAACAGTCACCCCCCATGACCCTCTAAAATACCCAACCGTGGGGGGGGGGGGGTCAATCAAAAATGATAAAATTTTGAATAGTTCCTATTCCACAGTTATGGATCTCATTGTATACACATCATCAATCAGAATTATCTGGAGAAACACGGATCATCTAGGAGAAGTAAATATTTTTAAGAAGCAGTTGAAGGTCGTCGTGTTTAATAAACCTATTTTCAATTAAACCTGACCATTAGATAGTTTCCACTGGTTTCCACACGTGTAAAGTAAAAATCTAGACCTAGATGATTAAAAAAGTGAAATGAGGGGATTCCATGACATAAAAAACACAGCTTGTTAACAAATATAGACTTTCATATATGGGCAAGACAGTTTAAGGCAAGGTTGTATAGTAAGGTTGCTAACTCTCGATGAGCTCCAATTTACATGAAAATGTCCACTCCTAAGCAATGGACAGTGAAATCTGTTAATGACGTCACTATTCCCTACACTTGCCTTTATAATCCACATAAATTTCACTAGAAGGCGTACCGTCCCGCTTTGCCTGACATAGTCTGTACTTTACAGCTTGCTCTAGCTGGTGAATATTCGGGGCCCGGTACTTGAACCAAAATTTGTAGCAAATGAGCGGGGGCGCAACTAGACAATCAGCTTGGGGGGCATAGGACAATTATCTTTTTTTGCCCCCCCTAAACATTTCCAGGGGGGGGGGGGGCAGGAAAAATGTGTATTATACTCAACCATCAATAAACTACCTTCACAATTCAGGATATTTTTGGGGTAAATTTGTATTGGAAAAATCTTAAATTTATATTTCAGGGGCAAATTTATTTTTTGGGGGGAATTCTTTATTGCGGAAATCTTAAATCTTTTTTGGGACAAATTTTATTTTTGGGGGGGCTTTTATAGTTTTATAATTTTGTGTATGGGAAATCTTTATTTTGGGGTCAAAATTTTTAATTTAAGGGCATTTTTTAAAAATAAAAAGGGGCATCTTTTTAAACTAAGGGTTATTTTTTTGTTGGAGGCAAAACTTCTTAATTTTTTTAGCATTAACCAAATAAAAATAAGGGTAATTTTTTTAGAAAGGCAGTAAATTTTAAAGTTTGGTGTATTTATAAAACAGTTGGGGATAGAAAATCTAAATTTAGGTGTACATTAAAAATATTTGGTGGCACTGTACCCCGGACTAACCAGAGTGAACAGCATTCGGTTTCTTTTATTCAAAATCAAACGTGTTTTGGTCTATAATTCAACAATCTCTTACCTTACAGATTTGTTTATTATTTCATTCAAAATGTATGTATATGCCGACAAAAAATTTTAAGAAAAAAGGCTAAAAAACTATGTTTGTAGGGTCAAATTATTTTCGAAAGTCATAGCTTTCTGAAATATTGACAGAACCGTTATATCCACGTGACTGGCATTCTAAAAAGAACAAGGGTTAAACATGATTAATAAAGGGGCAAATTTAAGTCTGGTGGGGCAATTTGAATGAGGATGTGTGAGAGTAATTTAACAAATACAAATACAAATTAAAGAAATAGGGGAAATAAAAAGAATTTGAGCTTATGTAGAAAAATGTGAAGAAAAAAAATTCTGTGGGGGCATTATTTTTTCATTTTATTGGAAACTCTTCCTTAATTTACAAAAATTTTTAATGATGTATCATTCAGAACTTGAAACATTATGCTTTTATGATATCCATTTCATAAAAATATATTTAAAACAACATACTTTTTATATTCTCTTACTAAGTTGCAGAATATATTTGAAATATTATACTTTTATAATATTCTGTTAATAAGTTGCAGAATATATTTGAAACATTATACTTTTATAATATTCTCTTGCAGTTGCAGAAGAATCCTCTTTTATAATATTCTGTTAATAAGTTGCAGAATAAATCCTCTTTTATAATATTTTGTTAATAAGTTTTCGACTGAATTTGAAAGGTTTCTGTTCCTGCAAAAGCTAAATATCCTGGCCCTAAGGATAGGATACATAGGATTAAAGGAGGGTCGATGCAAGAAGATAAGTCGCCAAGTTGATTCAGGAGAAAGGGAGAGTAACACTTTATGAAATGGTGTGACGCGCCACTAATTCTATAACTAAGAATGTTAGAATGGGTTAGATGGTTAGAATATGCCACTTATTCTAGAACTTATTGTTTCGACCCCACTAGAGTCAAAGGAAAATCAAGAAACCTTAGAGATACCTTTTCTGATAAACAAATCCACCTCGGACTCATGATATTAGAGAGAGAACAGAACAAACTAATTAATGAAGACAGTATTCAATCAGCGTTTATTCTAGATGTAAAAAATACAAATAATGCTGGGGAAAATGGCATAAACACATGATACTAAAAAAATCATTTACAATAAAGACTAAATCTTAAAATTGTTTTGCTGAGGTTCCGAGAAAAAGGGTAATTCCATTTCCCCAACCCATCAGATCTTGAAATAAATACCCCGCTCGGTGTAGAGGATAAGAAAAAAGCAAACATGATTGAACTTGGAGTACAAGTCAATCACCCTTTAGGTATACTATGCATTTAAAACCAATAGTAATCAAACACCTCATAGTTATCCACAAATATCCAAAGTTATCAATATCTTGAACCTTGAGACTAAACCAAATTTCTGAAATATGTTCACTCTTAAATAAGCTTCTTTAACTACAGAAGATTGTGTTAAAGTCCATCTATGCTCATGGATTCCTCTGTTCGGAGTGCCATCAGTGATTATCTCTAATCCCGGAGCTCAGTTCACAAGCTCTGTATGTCTGTAATTCACTCTCCTACTACTTCCTTCCATCCTCAATCTAACGGCATTGTAGAGAGTTTCTATCGTCCATTCAAGGTTTCCCTCAGTGCTCAACTTGCTGGGTCTGATTGATTGAAGTCCAGAGAAGATTTGTCAATTTCTCCCTCTGAAGCTGTGTTTGGTTCTCCCATAGTTCTACCGTGTGAGTTCTGGGATAATCCTGAGCTCCCTTCTCCAGAGTATCTCCGTCACATTCCAACAGACTATAAAGAATACTCCTATTGATTCGCCTCATTATAACTCAGCTCCGCCATTTTCAGTTCCAGTACAAGTTCCTCCAAGTTTGCTCCAGTCAACCCATGTTTTTGTCAGAGAAGATGCTTCCAAACATCCTCTGTCGTCTTCGCTGGTGATTTCTCAAACTCCAAAATACTTTTCTCTCCAGGTTGGTTTCAAGACTGACTCCAGGTCTGTGGGTATATTAAAACCAGTCCTCTCTGAGTTCCCTATAACAGCCCAGGAAACCTCTTGCAATGGTAGACCTCTGTCTCCGGTACCACCAGCTCCAATGCCTCTGAAACTTCCAGTGCCTCTGATGCCGCTGATGCCTCCTTTACCTCCAATGCCTCCTTTACCTCTGATGCCTCCTTTACCTCCAAGTCTTCATACACCTTTTTTGACAGCTAGAAGAGGGTTCGATTTTCTTCTCTAGTCCCTGTACCCTCCTCAGCTCGTAGAAATCCTAGAAGAATAATTAGAGATAAGTATCTTGTTTCTCCACAATCTCAAAAAATACTGGGGGACACCTGTGGAGGAGCTAGATTTTCGTCTTCCACTTCTGGACCAAGCAACCAAACCAAATATAGATATAGGGTATAACCGTATACGATCCCATGTTGCAACTTAGAGTTCAATAGATATACATTCTATTTGTCTCGTTCTTTGTGTTGCCACATTAAGGCCATTCCCGTGGGTGTACCAAGTTCACCATAGAAAATTTGAGGCAAATTGGTAAAGGGGTTCCTGAGTTATGATCGGATAAACAAAGAAACAGACAAACAGAAATTACTACTTTATAAATATAGATGCTAGATTATTTACAAGATAAATTTTTTCCCTAAACATAAATCAAATATTGAGACATGATAGAAAAATTAAGTGTCTTAAATCAAGGTTTTGGACACCATTAGTTTTACTTATCAGTTGAAAAACTTACATATTTCATTTTCATGAATGATCCTAAATCCGAGAGATAAGATAGAATATTTGTATATATTTGGTGTTTTCACAATGAGTTAGAATCTTACATTCTCGCGAAAATCGATTAGAGCTGGGAACTTTTAAATTGGATATTCTTAATCCCGATCGGTTAATTAATTTTGAGATTCATAAAAAGAGGATAACACGCATTATTTAATCTGGTGATTAAGAAAAAGAGGAGATCAAGCATTGATCTCGATATCCACCATTCTAAATTTTTCAGCTCAGGACTTTGCCCATCAAAGCTAGAAAAAATCCGTTTTTAGATTTACAACTTTCATATACATGGCTTTATAAGTGTAGAGAATCGGAAATATCAGAGCAAGGTTCGATGTCTGCCAAACCTATGACTTTGATTCGGTCTCGTTAGTTGGTGACTAATTGTGCATATTGCTGTATAGTAATAGAGAATAGAATATATGTTAGAGGGGAATTTACTGGAAAAAAAGTGTAAAACGGCCGTTTTGTTGTACTGTTTCCATACTGCAGGTGTACTTTATGCTATATAACCTTTTGGGCCCTGGAATATAATTTTATAGAAAATCTAAAATTATTGCTAAAAGAAAACCAAATTATGAAATAGGCTGGTTTCATAATTGACCAATGATCATTTCACATAGACTCTATGCCTTCCACTTTACAAACGATGATTTTCCGTTTTAACTATAAATCGAATGATGGTTTTTATTCACCTAATTCATTATAAAGTTTATTTAACAGTTTAAAAAATTCGAAATTGAAATGAATAGTCTAGGGAACATACTGTATTAATGTACTATACTGCATCTAATTTGTGAACATTTACATGATTTGTACACTTTGAACTCCATTTCAGGCTGAAAGGGAGTGACAAAATTCATACCGAGAGATTCTTTAAATTCCCCTCTAATATATATTCTATTCTCTATGTGTATAGTCTGTGTTTTACCGTATCTAAATGCACAAACAGCTGTTATTTTCATCTCAGTAATAAACCTCTTTTATCCAGACTTTGGAGTAAATAAGTTTATAACAACTTTTTATTTATTTGTTCAAAGATAGCAAAATACTCCTCGTGTAATTTTTAATTTTGCTCTTTAGAGATAACAGCCTTTGAATATGATTACAAATATTTGAATTTGATTAAAATGTTTTATATTTTATTTGCTTGCTCCCAAAAGATTAGTTATTATCATACTAGACCAATGCTGCAATTTAACAATATTTATTTATTTTTACAAATGGTATTCTGGAAATCAATTCTAGGAATTTTTCCGAACGCAGCCGAGAGAGGCGCTATAACAATATACATATATATATACATGTATATATGTATATATATACATGTATATATGTATAATCTCTCTGTATAAAGGAAAGAGGAAGAGTATTCTCGGTAATAATATCTAATTTATTTAAAAATTTAAGAAAGAGGTACAGACTTGTACTTTATATACACAAATAGAAAATATTTTTTAATGTTTGTAAATTTTCTTAAAAGTTATGTAAATGATCAAGACTTTCTTTATCTATTCTTAAATATATAAAGTTAAAGTATAGGTGTTCTGTATGTGTGTTTGTGTGCGTGTAGAGGGGTGTGTGTCTGTGTGAGGATGGAGGATGAAAACGAACGGAGGTCTGAGATCGATGTGCTTGGAGAAAGTCTTGTGAAAGTCTCTAGTGGCTGAGAGCGGAGTGAGAGGGTAGGATATTTACTATAGAGCTGTATGTATATACACTCCTATATACTCTCCTATAGAAACCTTATCAATCCTACACTGCGTTAAACACAGCTGAAGTAAGGAATCAGTTAACAGTATTCACTCTATAGTGTAGTATAGTTATTACAGTATTGTCAGGTTCAAGATTAACAGGTTAATCAGGTTACCAGGTTTACCAGGTTTACGAGATTTGCCAGGTTTACGAGATTTACCAGGTTTACCAGGTTTATCAGGTTTACAAGGTTTACAGATAGGTAGGCATATAGGTGAATAGGTTTACATGTCATCAGGTTTCGAGGTTTACTGGTTTATATAAGTTAACAGGTTTACAGGTTGGTTGGTTTAGAGGTTTACAGGTTGGTTGGTTTAGAGGTTTACAGGTTTACTGCAGATGGTTTTAAGTTTACAGTTTTACAGGTTTACGGCAAATTGTTAGATACTGGCACACAAGCTTACAGGTTACAGGTTTAAAGGTTTACAAGTGTTAAAGTATTCAGCTAGGATTATAGTTTAAAGGTTTACAAGTATTAAAGTATTCAGCTAGGATTATAGTTTAAAGGTTTACATACTTACGAATTATTAAAGATAGACAGGACTAACCTTGGCTAATTTGAATTTAATCGTACTTTGGTCAAAAATCTTTTAACTTACAGAGTTGCATTTTTCATTTAAAACGCATCCGTCTAAACAAGGATACTATTAAAAAGTGAAAATTTATGGTCAATTTGTGTCCACAAGCCATAGCTTGATGGGAGAAGGACCGAACTGTTAAATCTGCATAGAGCTAACAGGTTTTCATTTTCATTTTTTTTATTGGTTCTCAGGGTTACTGGTGTTGACATGTTTACAAGGATACGGTTAGAAAGGTTTACAGGGATATGGGAAGATAGGTTTACAGGTAGACAGGTTCACGGTTGATAGGCTTGCAAGTAGACAGGTTTACAGGTAGACAGGTTTACAGGTAGACAGGTTTACAGGTAAACAGGTTTACAGGTAAACAGGTTTACAGGTAAACAGGTTTACAGGTAAACAGGTTTACAGGTAAACAGGTTTACAGGTAAACAGGTTTACAGGTAGACAGATTCACAGGTAGACAGGTTTTCAGGTAGACAGGTTTAGAGGTGGACAGGTTTACAGGTGGATAGGTTTACAAGTAGACAGGTTTACAGGTAGACATGTTTACAGGTAGACAGGTTTACAGGTAGACAGGTTTACAGGTAGACAGGTTTACAGGTAGACAGGTTTACAGATAGACAGGTTTACAGGTAGACAGGTTTACAGGTAGACAAGTTTACAGGTAGACAGGTTTGCAGGTGACGTGTTTTCAGTTAATCAACAGAATTATCTCTCTAGAGGATTAGCTGATCAGCAGAATGATCTCTCCAGATGATCAGCTGATCGACAGATTGATCTGGCTTGTGGATCAGCTGTTAAACAAACAGATCTGCCTTGTTGATCTTGATCAGCTGATCAGCTGATCAGTAGACTTATCTACATTTATTTTGCTTAGTTGATCAGCTGCACATTATTCTGATGAGCTTTCAAAATGCGTTTTTTATTATTCTCCAGTTTTTACCGTACATTGTATGTCTACGTGCAATTATATTCGTCTGCTGTTTTTAAGTACCAATACGCAAGGGTTATTAATAGAACAGTCATAGTAGTGTTTGAAAACAATCGTTGAGATTTAAAATAAACAGCAGTCTATTTTATCCCCAAAGTTTGTGGCTCACTAAAGAATTTTCCTAAGAGCGGAGATTTTATTCTAAACTAAAAATATCAAAACTAGGCTTTTAGGGCGCTTCGCGCCCATCTTTTTTTTCAACTTTTGATTGTGGCTTTATCTATGAGCATCTTCTCTTTGTACAATGTAAAACAAAACAAAAAAGATTGCGGATTTCATAATATGTTTTCGCGCATTTTTAAAATTTTACAAAAATAATACCCCAGGTATTGCGCCTGTCTCTGCTTTAAATTGGGAGAAGTAAAAACATGTTCTGATTTTCATAAAATATATTTGGATAAATTTTACATATTTTAAAGTTTGCTTATTTTTTCATATTTGTTGCACAATAAAATAGCAGAGTCGATGAATGATTATTTCCAATAACTATTCATAATGTACAGATATTCATTACATGGGTATAAATATACAATATACATTAATGCATGTTTTTATAAATGTATTTATAATTTACTGTTCATTGTTCATTGTTAATACATGAATAGCAATACTGGATTTTGGGAAGAAACACCTTATAAAAAATGTTTAAACATAAAGTTTTCGAATCCAACTGCCGATTGCCGAAGACTGTAAAATACAAGAAATAATTGCAGGTTATGAAAACAAAAACTCTGTCTTTCTTTAAATATATATATAAAGATATATAGTGTGAATGTATATAAATTATAAATATATAAAGTGTTTATATATATGCTTAGATGTGGAGCATATGTGTTTAAATGGAGTTATAGATGTATCATGATGTGTAGCCATCTGATCAAATATTTTACTATCAATTCACCGGTATAGATGTAACGTAATATTCTTAAGTAAAATCTTTAACCACAAGCCAGATCCAGAACTGTATCTTTTAAACCTTTCATCAAGACTTTCTTGTTTTTATTTCTGAAAATTGATAATTTTCTATTGTGACTTTTCCGTGATAGTGTGACTTCATTGATAAAGACAAGAAAGAAGTTAACATAGTTCAACACTTTTTAAAGGGAGTGTTTGGGAAAAAATGAAAGGGGTTATAGACTTACAGCGAAAAATAAGCGCTTCTGATCGCTCCTATTACAACTAATAATCATCGATTATTTTTCGACGCATTCGTATATAGTTGATATTTCATAATATTTTTTTTATTTTTTGTTGATCTGAGAGTTACTTTGGAAAACATTTATTCCTGTTTCGAGGATGTTTGAAAATGAAGACGACATTTTTATATTTTCTAGCAATGTTCGAAAATCCAGCGCCAGCGAAATATTTTTAAAACAAAATCAAAAATATTATTAAAAATAAACTATACACGAATGCGTCGAAAAATAATCGATGACTATTGATTTAACATCTAAATGATTTGTTTGGAATTAAATTGATTATTTTATTATCCGATTTGAATGTTGTAACTGTCTGAATTTGTCTGAATTTTCTCCTTATAGACGAAACAGATAGAAGTTAGATTAGTAACAATGAAAAGCACAATTTTTTCGCCGTAAGTCTATTCCCCCTTTCATTTTTCGCGAACATTCTCTTTAAGGCAGAAAAACGTGTATATCCTTCTCCTCGTTGTTGCTCAGATAACAGTGCAAAGAGAACCTTTGGGGATCGGGATTGCGACTCTTTAATTTGGGGTCACTTGATATTACGTCGAAAGGGACGTTACAAAGGTTTGTACTTTGTATCTCCATTTATTGTCTGGGTTCTAGGCTACACGATTTTTTTCAATAAAATGTCAATGTTTCCTTTACACAAACTACAAACTAATCTAAAGTTCAAATTCGGTATTTTAAAAAAATCTTCCTTTCTGTGATTGCTCCTTAAATTGTTAGAGGTTGTGTCAGGGGGGGGGGTGACATCAGAGTATTGTTTACTTAGCCAACTATGCTATCTATTACCTGTATGTTTAAAGACTAATTCAATAAAACTTAAATAGACAAATGCATGAAAAGAAATACATACATATGAGTACGTATAAATATAATTGAACTATCAATATATTTAGATATATTATCTTGCCATTATATTGCAAGGTTAAAAATAAGTACTTTAAGTTTTCAAATATGCACGTATAGGTCTAGAAAATATTTACTGAAGTAATGTGGTAGATTTATTAAAGTATTGTGGTTTTATGTAAATGTATGATATATATGTGTACCACATAGTGTGGTGTATATGTAAGAGCAGTGTGGTATGAATATGTGATATGAATATGTGGTATGAATATGTGGTATGAATATGTGGTATGAATATGTGATATGAATATGTGGTATGAATATGTGGTATGAATATGTGATATGAATATGTGATATGAATATGTGATATGAATATGTGTATGAATATGTGGTATGAATATGTGATATGAATATGTGGTATGAATATGTGGTTGTTTGTCTGATTGTCAGGTTGGAGAAGAAAAGGTTGAGTATTAGGAGACTCCGGTGCTGGCAGCAGTAAAGGAAAACATGAAGATAATTTAGAAGTTATTCTAGATTAAGAGAGTAAGAGAAGGATATTCTAATAGATAGATAGATATTCATGTGAAGAGGTTTCGGCCTCGGGATCAGGTGAACCTCCGCTGGTAGCCTCAGTCAGGTGGGCAGTAGGGAGAAAACATGCAGGAGCTAACAGGAGGAAGGAAACCAATACAGAATACAGTAGAGTAATTTCAGGAGGCAACAAAGCCATTTCAGGAGACGTAAAGTAATTACAGGAGGCAAAAAAGCAATTTCAGGAGGCAGGAGAACAATCTGTGGAGGCGGCAAACCCGTTCAAGAGAAGAACGGAAGAGAATGAAGCATGAGAAGGAAGACGACAAATTAGGAGATTGAAGATGAGGCAGAATAGAGAGCATATATAGGAGACACCAAGGGTAATAGGGAAAAGAGGCAGAAGCATTGAGAGAACAGGCGGAAGCATTGAGAAGATAGGTTGTACGATTAAGAGGACAGGTGGTAGCAATTAAAAGAGACAGGCCAAAGCAATTAAAATAGAGGCAATGCCATTGAGAGGACAGGTTGTAGCAATTAAAAGGCAATGCCATCGAGAAGACAGACAATACCAATGAGAAGACAGGCAAAACCATAAGGAAGACAGGCAATACCATTGAGAAGACAGGCAATAGGGAGGCAGACAGGGAGAGATAAAAAAAACTTAAGATGCTATTGTTCAAGGGGTTAGTTTAAACTGAGGTTGAGGAGAACTAAGATAAACTGGGCCAGGTTAGATGCGTTTAAAGGAACGAAGAGTATGTTAAAGTAAGATGAAAGAAAAGTAAACCTAGATTTATATCTGGAAATTAGAATGCTAAGTGAGAAGTGTTTACTAGAGATGGAGGACAGAATAAGGAAAACTCTAGTTTTAAACTTTTACACAGAGTAACCATCCTCTGTTTAGTTCTATACCTAGAGTAACCATCCTTGGGCTAGTTATATACCTAGAGTAACCATCCTTGGTTTAGTTCTATACTAAGAGTAACCATCCTTGGGTTAGTTCTATACCTAGAGTAACCAACCTTGGGTTAGTTCTATTACCTAGAGTACACATTCTCTGTTTATTTCTATACCTTGATCATCCTTGTTAGATTTCTATGTCTTAAGCAACGAACAACATTTACATTTACAAATTTAAGAAATACCGTAAACTACGAAAATTACATTTTTATATTCCTCATTACAACTCAATATATTTTTAGTAAAACAAAATCCTTTAGAATTTGAATATATTTTAATTTATATTTATATTTCAGAAAAATGTCTTGATATTTTAAAATCTTGGGGAAATTTATTGTTGAGCAAGGTAAGAATAAAACTAATAAACTTATTTTTAGTAATTTAAACTCTTGAATAACTGGCATAGCATAATTCTAAAACCTAAATGTTGCGCAGGAAGTATCATTTTAGAAAAATTAGATTTTTTTATGATAATTTATTCAAAGAGTAATCGAAGCCATAAAACAAACTTACGAAGTACTTTCTTGATATAAAGACTTATTATTTAACACCATAATACTTTTAAGGAACTGTCAACATAATAAAAATAAGTGACCCTTAATAATATCATCATTCACGATTATAACGTTTATTATCAAAGAATCCTGAAGGGGTTTCTAAACTAAAATTTGACCTTGGTTTCTAAACTAAAATTTGACCTTGGTTTCTAAACTAAAATTTGACCAAGGTTTCTAAACTAATATTTTTACCGTGGTTTCTAAACTAAAATCCTTTAGGTTTCTAGAAAACGGTTCGATGCTCCTACAGCAAAGACCAGAAAGATATTTGGCAAGATTTTTCTTAATTCAATGAAAAATTACAATTATTCTTTTTCTTGGTATCTATCAAATGAAAACGTCCTAATTTGGAAGTCCGAGTTAGGCAGGCATAATCCATATCAGTGTATCCTCTCCTCCCGCAATCTAGACCCCCTTCCCATTGTTGTTACCAGCAAGCTTTTACTTTCGATCCCAATTTGACCAATTAAACGTCAATTTTTCTTTTTCTTCTCTTTTCAACTTTACTGCCGGTGAAGGAGTTTTATAAGTTGAAAAAGACAACAATTCAAGATTGAGGAATCATCAACCAACACTCGATTGAATTAAAATTGAATAAAGTGAACACAGCTAGTCGTAATTGGTCTAGGGTGCCCCTCGCTACCTAGCATTCTAACCCACGCCCCACCGCGGTGGGGTACTTTAGGGGTTCATGGGGAGGTGACGATACTCCTCCTAAAATGCATTTGTCTTGTGGCTTCATGGTGATGATATTATCTACGTTTCGGGATAGTCTAAAAATGAATTCTAACAGCCATATAGAAAATATTTAGGTCCTCCAGCAGCACCCCAAAACCTGAATGTAGTCAGAGTAACATGTTTAAAAATCCTATTTTTAAGTTGTCAATGAAATAGCGGGTTTTTGGTAAAAATTCTTAACTAAAAATAGCAATTAAATTACTTAGATACTTTTCTCAAAGGAAACTTTGAGCGGCCGAGCCTTATTTGACATAAATATGAGGTTTATGGAAAAAACTCATTTTAACACCTTGTTCTAATACCCCACTGTGCCCCCCCCCCCCACTTATGATAACCCTAGAAACTATGGAAGTCTATAAATATATTTTTTATTCAATTTGGTCAAATGTTTATTGGTAAGATTGGACAAATAGACTTCGTAATTGGATTGACAGTTTGTAAATGTATTAATGAAGATAATTATATAAAGATAGGCAATATACGTTTAATTTTTTCTTTTAGGGTGTACCTAGTGTACTTAGTGTACCCAGTGTACCCAGTGTACCTAGCCTTCCTAGTCTACTTAGTCTTCTAGATAGTGAGAAAGAAAAAAAGTAAGCTTTAATCTTAAGATTAATTTGTAACTGCAGAATTTGCTAGTTCTATTTACCTAATCCTTTTTTTGTCTATTTTCGTATATTTATTTATAGATATATAAATATATATATTATATAAATAGATATATATATTATATATATAAANAAGATGTCCCAGGTTCCCTGTATTAATCTATCTGTATCTTTATAGATCAAGATGTCCCAGGTTCCCTGTTCTAAGTTTACAGATAACTACGAGCTCAAGGAGGAATTGGGAAAGTAAGTTATTGTGATAAAATCATGAACTGTTTACTAGAAAACAATCTTTAAGGAACTGTTTACTAGAAAAAAACCTTGAAGGAACTGTTCTGTAGAAAATATTCTTAAAGGAGCTGTTTACTAGAAAATATTCTTAAAGGAGCTGTTTACTAGACAATATTCTTAAAGGAGCTGTTTACTAGAAAATATTCTTAAAGGAGCTGTTTACTAGAAAACAATCTGAAAGAAACTGTTTACTATAAAACATTCTTAAAGGAACTGTTTACTAGAAAACAACCTTAAGGAAACTGTTTACATATTTAGAAAACAATCTTAAAGGAACTGTTTACTAGAAAACAATCTTTAAGGAACTGTTTACTTGAAAACAATCTTAAAGGAACTGTCTACTTGAAAACAATTTTAAAGGAACTGTCTACTTGAAAACAATTTTAAAGGAACTATTTACTAGAAAACAATCTTTAAGGAACTGTCTACTAAAAAACAATCTTTTTTGTTAAAAGTGATTCGAGTAAACAAGAAAACAATTTGTTTTTTAAAAGTGATTCAAATAAATTACAGCTATTGCTTTTTTATTCAGAATCTAGCTTGGGAAGGTACCCCGTAGGTACCCCGTTTTGCTTGGAAACTAAACTTTCCCAACAAAATTTTGAATTTTTTTAACTCTTAAAATTTGTATAAGCTTAAATAGTCGGACAGGCTTTTATTGCTTAGAATTATAAAATCTAGCAAAGAATATTTCTGTGGTTCTACCGAGTTTCCCAACAGAAATTTGAAGCAAATCGGCCAATAGCTTCATGTGTCATCGGACCTGCAAACAGACAAACAATGATGATAAACTTTCCAAATACTTTATGATTTCATTCCATATTCTTAAGACATTATTATTTATCATGACATTATCAAGAGAGAGGATGCAAAGATGTTGAGTAATAATATTTTTAGGGGAGCTTTTTCCATTGTCAAAAGATGTGTACAACGGCATACTGGTCTGGAGTTTGCGGCTAAAATCATAAACACCAAGAAACTCTCTGCCAGAGGTAACACTTATTTATTAAATTAACATGAGAAAATACATTATATATTATTGCATAAGCTATTTCCGCCTCTAAAAAATTTCATGTTTATTGACTTCCCCTGTATGTTTTCAGTGTGATAATACTTAAATTGTTTATGTTTGATAACATTCACCTTATTTTCAATTTGATTTTTATTTATTTCCAGCAAATTATAGATAAGATTTAACTTAATCCTATTTTAGACTTCCAGAAGCTCGAGCGCGAGGCGCGCATTTGCCGGAAACTACAACATCCAAATATTGTTCGTCTTCATGATAGTATTCAGGAAGAGAGCTTTCACTACCTCATCTTCGATTTGTAAGTATATATCTAACAATTAAACCGTTAAAGCGGAGGTTCTTCTTTTCACTTTCTGGAAAAGTTTTCTTGTAAAGTTAGACTGAAAGATAAAAAATCCTGAGCTAGAGTATAAATAGAGAAAAGAGCTTCTGCCAAAATTAATTTGAAAAATCCCCAGACACTCAACTCTCCCAGGTTCTACCAGAAAACAAAATATAATTCTCTTTTTCCCCCCGAATTAATTTTGCTAAGTTGTCTGTGGACTGAATTGATATTTGAAATGAAATGAATCCCCACGGCCTACAGTTTATTACCTCTATTACAAGCTTAATACAACTGCAGTAAGCTCAGCAAACCGACCTCTTTCATTTATACAGGACTATACAGGACTATACAGGACTATACAGGACTATACAGGACTATACAGGACTATACTGAACTATACTGAACTATTCTGGACTAAAATAGACAATGCTGGACTAAACTAGACTATGCTGGACTAAACTAGACTATGCTGGACTAAACTAGACTATGCTGGACTATACTGAACTATACTGAACTATTCTGGACTAAAATAGACAATGCTGGACTAAACTAGACTATGCTGGACTAAGACTATGCTGGACTAAACTAGACTATGCTGGACTAAACTAGACTATGCTGGACTAAACTAGACTATGCTGGACTAAACTAGACTATGCTGGACTGAACTAGACTATGCTGGACTAAACTAGACTATTTTAAACTAAACTAGCTATATGACTTTACTTCACTTTAATGAAATAATCTGGACTGTGTTTGAATATGGCAAATAGCCTACACTGTAAGGCTAAACTGGACTATGGTTTTTTAAAACTTTGTTATGTTTACTGCACTAATCTAGGAGTGCTCTTGATAGCTCTTCAAATTTTGTCAACCTTCAGCAAACATTGCCATTTATTCTGCTAATGCTGAAGAGGAAAAAAATAAATAATAAATAAAGAAAGAAAATGAATTTAATGAAGAGAAAGAAAATGATTAGAGCCAGGAGGTTGAGGTAGGGGCACGGTTTCGAATGAAATGTCAACTGGTAGAAAAATATAATATATAAGTATAAGAAAAGATCAAACTTTGAATCTTCAGTTTAAACAAGCTAGTGGTGGAAGAGAAGATAAGGGGGAGGGGTTGCACTTGCTTTGCTTAAACATGGATAGAATTGAAACCATTCCTGTTCTAAAGAGAGAGAGAGAGCTCAGTGCAATTTTCAGTTCCAGACCATTTATACAAGTTAACGATACCCTTGCTTCTAGCTACCAGACCTACAATATAGATAAGTTGAATACAGAAAGATAGATAGGTAGATCACAGAGACAGAAAAAAGGAAACTGTGTATGTTACAGGGTGACGGGTGGTGAGCTGTTAATATTACATGGTAACGGGTGGTTAACTGTTAATATTACAGGGTAACGGGTGGTAAACTGTTTATATTACAGGGTGATTGGTGGTGATTTCTTAATATTACAGGGTGACGGGTGGTGATTTCTTAATATTACAGGGTGACGGGTGGTGAACTGTTTGAAGATATTGTTGCCCGTGAGTTCTACTCTGAAGCTGATGCTTCCCACTGTATCCAGCAGATACTGGAGTCTGTAAACCACTGCCATTCAAACGGTGTAGTTCACAGAGATCTCAAGGTATACTTTTATACTGGCCATCCTTGTTGTAATGTAGTATTGTAGCCCGGCCCCCAGGTCCAGTTTTAAATAGGAGATAGGGGGAAGGGATATTTAACTTTTTTAAAGAAAGTTTAAAATTAGCCTTTGCCTTCTGATTCTTAACTAGTTAAAACTTGGTAATTCGTCCATTAAAAGGAATAAATAACTAGAATTATTGTATGCAAAAGTTTTTTCTTTATTAATGCAAATTGTAGAAAAAACTGTTTGGTTTATCTTAAAGCTAACTGTATAGTTGTAAAATTGAACTGCATGCATGATTCTAAACTGTAAACCCATCTCGTTTATATACAAACATGCATATATATATATCTATATCTTCTCTTCATCTATGAAAGGTTTTAAACAAATGTTATGAACGAGGGGAGGAAGGCCATCCACAACAATTTCTTGTCATTTTCTCGTCCGAGCCACCTTGAAGTCATCGTCTTTCCAATATTCTAATCCTCCCAGATAAAAATATTTTTTAAGAATCTGGCCACGTTATAAGGTATTAATGAAATATTGAAATTTGGTAAATTGGAAAAAAAGTTTAATGTTCTTGAAAATTTTTACATTTTTTACGCGCATTTTAAGATATTCCTGGTGTTGAATGCCGTGGCCAGATTTAAAAAAAAATAGTTTTATCTTCAAGAATGGGAAACTTTAAAACGCATAATAGTCAAAAGACGAGGATTCCGAGGTGGCTTGGACGAGAAAAAGAGAAGAATGTGGCTCGGACAAGAAATTCTTGTAACTAGCCTTCCTCCCCTCATGAAACAAATGCTTTAAATATGTGGATCTAAGTGTTTGAGTGAAATGACCAAATGGAACTCTTCAACAATGCTAGATTTAAAATAAATATTATTAATTGAAGAGATTCTGTAATTCTCAATGTTGGTTCGATATATGTTACCCTCCCCTTTTACATTATGTACATTGAACAAACCTGTAAATGTTCACCAAAAAGTCTTTGTTTCGCATGGTCTTGGCTCAGTTTATTTTTTTCTCCTAAATATTGGAATTTAAATGAGGAAAGAAACGAAATATGCAAATATGATTAAGAAATATGCAACTATGATTAAGAAATATGCAACTATGAATAAGAAATATGCAACTATGATTAAGAAATATGCAACTATGATTAAGAAATATGCAACTATGATTAAGAAATGTGCAACTATGATTAAGAAATGTGCAACTATGATTAAGAAATATGGGAAATATATGAAAATTTGATTAAGGTGGGGGGGGGGGGAAGAAATATGGGAAATATATGAAAATTTGATTAAGGTGGGGGGGGGGGGAAGGAATAGAAATATAAACATGATAAGACTCTCCGTCTCCAACTCTGATTTTCTAATTACTATATCTTGGCAACCCAATCTTGTAGACCTTAGATATTTCGTGCTATATAACTTCTGTTAGATCAAATAGTATAAGCTTGAAATATCAAAGGTTTTGTCCCTCAGGTTACAAAGATATATGGATTTGAAAATTAGAGTTTTTGGCTAAGAATCAATTCCTTCAACAAATTAATGTGTAAAAGGAAAAGAGGGTTGAGAAATATGTAGAGGGGGGAAATGGAAAGAGCTTTATATAAATGGAAAGAAATAGGAGAAAATTTTTAAGAAGAATGGGAAAATTGGGAAAAAATGGGAATAAATCTAGAGATAAAAGAAATGCAGGAAAATAGAAAGAAAGTGTTGAGAAATGTCGGAAAATGGAAAAATATGGCTATCACATGTTTGAAGCATAGAGTTAAAAAAAAGTTTAAAATTGTAAAATAGGATTTAGAAATGTTTAAAATAGTAGAATGAATAGGGTTAATACATGTTGGAAAATAGAAGAATGGGGTTAAGAAATGTTGAAAATAGTAGAATAGGGCTAAGAAATGTTGAAAATAGTAGAATAGGATTAAGCAATGTTGAAAATATTAGAATAGGGCTAAAAAATGTTTAAAATAGTGGAAAAGGGTTAAGAAATGTTGAAAATGGTAGAATAGGGTTAAGCAATGTTGAAAATAGTAGAATAGGGTTAAGCAACGTTGAAAATAGTAGAATCGAATTTAGAAATGTTGAAAATAGTAGAATAGGGTTAAGAAATGTTTAAAAGAGTAGAATAGGGTTAAGAAATGCTTAAAATAGTAGAATATGATTAAGAAATGTTGAAAATAGTAGGTTAGGGTTAAGAAATGTTGAAAATAGTAGGTTAGGATTAAGAAATGTTGAAAATAGAAGAATAGGGTTAAGCCATGTTGAAAATAGTAGAATATGATTAAGAAATGTTGAAAATAGTAGAATAGGGTTAAAAAATGTTGAAAATAGTAGGTTAGGGTTAAGAAATGTTGAAAATAGTAGAATAGGGTTAAAAAATGTTGAAAATAATAGGTTAGGGTTAAGAAATGTTGAAAATAGTAGGTTAGGATGAAGAAATGTTGAAAATAGTAGAATAGGGTTAAAAAATGTTGAAAATAGTAGGTTAGGATTAAGCCATGTTGAAAATAGTAGAATATGATTAAGAAATGTTGAAAAGAGTAGAATAGGGTTAAGAAATGCTTAAAATGGTAGAATATGATTAAGAAATGTTGAAAATAGTAGGTTAGGGTTAAAAAATGTTGAAAATAGTAGGTTAGGATTAAGAAATGTTTAAAATAGTAGAATAGGGCTAAGAAATGTTGAAAATAGTAGAAAAGGGCTAAGAAATGTTGAAAATAGTAGAAAAGGGCTAAGAAATTTTGAAAATAGTAGGTTAGGGTTAAGAAACGTGACTCCTGTTCCAAGGGTTCTAAATTCAAGAACAAAGAGGAATTTTGCAGACAAAAGATGATATTTTACAAGTTTGTGTCTCATATTTCCAACTTAACCCAGTTCCCAAATATCAGCAAAATAATGAAAAATAATGTTTTACTTCCCTTTCATCATAATTATTAAACTTTATTGAATTCTACCCTGAGAAAACTATTGATCCAACAGAGAAATAATTAAATTTGTTCTTAATGTTTTGCAATTTCAACATAAAATTTAAAAAACAAAAATGTGATACAAGCCATACAGGTTTTAAATTTGGTTTTGGTTGATTTACAATCTAGAAATATAAACCTTATCTTTCGACTCATATCTGGGGGTGTAGGCTGTCTTATAAAACTCATATATTCACATAATTTAACAATTATTTTTCGAACATATATTCCTTAATCAGGATGGGTTAAACTTATCAATTTTCATGAATATTTAACTTCTTAATCAAAAAAAACTAAAGGAGACATTTTGAATAATCATGCTGTATAAATAAACCTAAGATTGAAATTCTTCATATATATCAATATCCTTAAGTTTATTTCTATGAAAAGTTTTCCCATCCTAGAAAGTGTAAAAAGATGTCAACTTCGCCTGTTTATAAATTACTCTCAGATGAATAAATTTTTATAAAAATCTTATCTGATGGTGGTTTTTAAACGCGCTGTTACTTGTATAGCTCCTAATGTAACACATTATTTATTTTTAGCCAGAAAACCTTATCCTGTCCGAAAAACCTAAGTCTCAAGTATGCATTTTTTAAAATATATTTTGTGTAAATTAGCTTCGAATATGGCTGTAACATGTGAATGATCGGATTGTCTTAAGTTTCTTGTACTTAAACAATTATCTGCTTTTTTGCAATTGCTTCTTTTAAATATATTAAAATTGTTAAAAAAATATGTTGCATCTGTATAAGCTTAAAAACGGCTTTATACAAAGGTAATCTTATTTTGTTATATTTTTACTTTTTTCATATTCTTTCAATTATTTGCTTACGTGTAAACTGTTATTTTTGTACGAAGCCATAGTGAGGCATGGTAAACAAGTCAAGTGTACTGTGTACACGGTACATACAACATGTACACTTGCATAATAACATCAGCAACATTAGTTTTCCCTCACTATTTCTTTCTCAGTCATTACACAAGATCCTTCGAATAAAAATATTTTGAATTTGTTGCATGGATGGACTTATTATAAATGTTTGTATGCCTCACTTTTATCTAATTATCTTCTTCTGGCGTGAAGTGCAGGGTGGTGAGAGTGTGATGGAATCATACTTTAAGACAAAAGGATTCGTTTTCGTTTTTAAAATAACAAGTGTTTTCAAGGTAACAGTTGCACTTTACACGGTTGGAGAATGGGAAAATGAATTTATGTATTTTAACAGAAAGAGAAAACAGAGAACAGGAAAAAGACTGATTTTAACAATACAATACAATTGTGATTACATTTTTCATCTGATTTGAAGTATTTCGCGCACTGCTTTCAGTCAATTTATGAGTTAAGTAACTTTACTTTTCTAATCTCAAAATTTTAGCAATTGAATGGTGAAAACTGTTCATATTTCAAACTTAAACTGATCTTATTTGGCAAAAATTATATTTTGGAATATGCCTGGTTATCAGGTTGCACAGATATAAAGATTAGAAAAGGAATGGAGTCTTTGCAAAAACTCAAATTTTCTAATTCCTGTAACTTTGCAACCTGATGGTGTAAACCTTTAATATTTAAAACGTAAATTATTTCATCTTACTTTTTAGCTAACTAATGGATATAAAAAAATTAAATGTTTTTTCTTTCCTTTTTCATTAACGAGTTTCCAGACAAATTAAATTATGTTTTTAAATACAAAGAGTTTACACTATAAAATACAAATTATACACTATACACACTGTACACTGTACAAAATATGATGGGTTCAAAGTTTTCTGTTCACTTTATACATATAATTAACTAGGCTTTTAAGGCGCTTCGCACCCATCTTCTATTTCAATTGTGAACATGTTCTCAATGTAACATTGAAAAACAAAAACAAAAAACCAAATTTCAAGGATTTTATAAAAAATTGCGGATTTTCAAGATTTTAAAATTTTGTACAAAATAAAAAACTTTTAAATACAAATTTTTAAAATTTTTATCATTCATAAACCTTCCTTGGGGTCACGCGAGATCCCACAAAATATCTGGGCCCGATCGGTTCAGCCGTTTTGACGTTTATTAGATACAAACAAACAGACAGACAAGCCAAATTTATGTATAGATAATAATTAGACATTATGGTTGTTAATAAATATAAACTCAAATATAAACTATTTCTACATTTCTATCATTTCTATCCTTTCTATATTTCTAACGCTTTATCCTTTATATCCTTTCTATATTTTCTTCTTTCCTTTCCATTCTATACACTCTATCCATCCTATATTTTCTAACTTTATTTACTTTTAATCCTAATTCTATCCTTTCTTTTCTTTTTATATCTTCTACCTTTCTATCCATATTATCATTTCAATCCTTTCTATGTTTTCTACCTCTCTATCCTTTCTATCCTTTCTATCCCTTCTAACCTTTCTATCCTTTCATTTCATTCAGAGAAAAATTTCATAATTTCAGGAGTTTGTCTTTCAGGAGTTTGTCTCGTCAGGAGTTTGTCTCGTCAGGAGTTTGTCTTTCAGGAGTTTGTCTTTCCGGAGTTTGTCTTTCCGGAGTTTGTCTTTCCGGAGTTTGTCTTTCAGGAGTTTGTCTTTCAGGAGTTTGTCACGGCACCATCCTTTCTACCTTTCTATCTCCCAGTCTTTCTCCTTGTTATACTGTTTTTAATTTATTTATACATCTTACTTTTATAATTTTCAATATATTATTGGCTTCTTATTTTTTCATCTTCTTTCCTACTAATCTGATATAAGAATAATTAAATATGCATATGAAAATACATTATACACACATGCATATTGCATATGTATATTCTATATGTATAATTTATATACAAGCTTTAATTTATAATATGGGTATTTATTTGTTTAACATTTTGTAACATTTTCTTTATACAACCTGAGAGTCAAAAAAAAAATCAAAAAACTTTTTGCGCAATTTTTCTAAAAAATTAGGAATTCAAAATATTTTTTGGGATTTAAGATTAATAGACGGAAAGTTAGTTAGCAGAACAGACAACTTGTGTATTGAGATAATGTCTGCTATATAAAAGGGAGATAGGGTTACAGCTTTGTTTTGTTTGTGTTGTGCATGCCAATCTATTATTTTGTAGATATCGGAATGCTTATTTATTTTACATCTACTTAATCAGGTTTATTCTAATGTACAATTGTTTTTAATTTTACAGGAAAGGTGTCTCTTATTTTAATTTTTAATTAGTTAGTAGGTTTAACTCACTAATTTGTGAAAATGTTTTTTAATTCATCTCTTTATCAAGAATTTCTTGTTTTTTAAAAATGAATTTGAAATTTAGTTTGTTCTTTAAATTGACTTCTAAGGCCGCAGAATAAGTTTAATCATCAGCGTTGCATTTCAATATTAAAGAAGGATTTACAAAGGAAAAAATCACGTTTAATTCATTTTTCCAGAAAATTTATTGTTTCAACAGATTTAAAGAAAAGTAGTTTTCGTGATTTTTTTAACCCTGGATAGAATACCTAAATTGATAAGGAAGCATGCTACAGCACTTATATGTACATTGTACACACAACAACGCAGTGTGAGTAAAATGAAGTTGAGGGGGGATAGGGCTTGTTTACACATTTTAAAGAGACGTATTAGGAGCAAACCTAACTTTTTTTTATAAAGAAAGGTCTCTATTTCCCTGGAAAATCACGGTTACGAACTGTTCATTATATTCACCTGAAAAAAGGTCCTAACTCCTAATACGTAGCTCTGTAAAATGTACGCAAACCATTTCTATCTCATCTTACATCTTATCACTTTGCTACAACGCAGGTATCCTTTCCATTTTAACAGTACAGTACAGTACAGTACAGTAAAGTACAGTACAGTTCAGTGCAGTACAGTACAGTACAATTCAGTGCAGTACAGTACAGTATAGTACAGAACAGTACAGTATAGTACAGTACAGTACAGTACAGTTCAGTGCAGTAAAGTACAACAGTTTGTTTGTATAATATAATAATAATATAGATTTAAACTTAAAATACTACTTTTACGTTTAATTATTAATAAATTTAACTTTTAAAATATGACAAAAATTTAGGTTTATTTTCTTTCAATAAGTTAAAATCTTGCTACAACACAATTGAATATTTTAAATATATCAATATTAAAATGGTTGTGTTTTTTTCCTGTCAAGGTAAATTCTACCAAATGAAATATAAATTTTTGTTAAAAATTCAAGTTTTTTATCTCTTTACTAATTCTCAAAATTCTGCGTTAAAACTAACAAAGTGTTTGACCCCGATGGTTAATTATTCCAATTTATAAACTGGGAAACTTTGTTTGACTGTATTTTGTGTGGCATGTTGAATACCTGTTTAATGAATAAAAGGATACCGGGACATCTTGTCTGTATTCCTGTTCATTAGAATATATCCAGTCCTCCTGTTTCAGCCTGAAAACCTCCTGCTCGCTAGTAAAAGTAAGGGAGCAGCTGTTAAACTAGCAGATTTTGGGTTAGCCATAGAAGTTCAGGGAGACCAGCAAGCATGGTTTGGTAAGTCCATTTTATTCTGTTTTAACAAAAATCTAGTAAAGGAATTGAGTCTTTTCCACAAAATTGAATTTTTAAACCTCTATATCATTTCAACCTAAAAGCTTAATCTTTTGATATTTCAAACTTATAATATTTGATCTATTCAGAATGCATAGTTTGAAATATCTAAGGTCTACGACATTTGGTTGAAAAGATATAAAAAATTAGAAATAAGATTTTGTTGCAAAAACTCATTTCCTTTGATATAGCATAATCAGTGTGAATAAAAGTCTCGAAGTGAATAGTAATCAATAAATCAATAAACACCGAAAATCTATTAAAAAATATCTATTTCTAATCATATTTTTACAAAATTGTAAATGCCTTGTAGCTTACAACGCTTAAAATCTCTAATTTTGATTTAAACTTTCACATAATGATATGTCCTACCTCAATGTATTTACGGATTTAATATCTTCAGTTTTACGCTTCACATTTTATTTTTGAAAGTTATTGATATTGATATATTTAAAGTTGCATTATCTGTTTGTCTGTTTGTATGTTCGAACTCGGGAACTCGGAAAAATCACGGGAATTCTCTTAGCTTGGATTTAAGATTCTAAGTGGAGTGGGTATACTTTTATAAGGCTAAAATCATAATTTACGACCAAGCGCGGGTAAACGGTGTGAGTAACTATGAGTACCTTGGGCAAAGCTGGGTTAGCACGCTAGTCTATATAATAAAGCTGTTCGCTCATTTATACCTATATATATAAACTGCTAAACCTATTGGTTGAAAACCGGATTTTTTTTCAAAAATATTTTTTAAACTGGATTTATTCCAATTATGGGAAACGCCGAGCACTTCAGCTATTACATTATATTTCTATTAAAGGGTTCGCTGGTACACCCGGATACCTCTCCCCTGAGGTTTTGAAGAAGGAACCCTACGGGAAACCAGTCGATATATGGGCCTGTGGTTAGTATCCATTATTCTTAAAGGAATTATTCACAAAATTAGAATATATTCGTATTCGTATCATTTTTATGTAAGAGGGTTAAAATATAGTTAAAATAAAATAAATGTTAAAATTAGAAAAGTCTATTTGTTATTTTAAAATTCTGCACATTTTATCAATTTCCTTGGATACCGTGTATAATCTAAATCAGAGGTGAACAGGGGGGGGGGGAATAGCTGAGGGTATAGCAGAGGTGAACAGGGGGGGGGGTATAGCTGAGGGTATAGATTGTGTGCAAACGAAAATTAACAGGGCAGAAACATTCTCCTAGTTGAATATTCTATGTATATTATAAGTGTGATACTGTATATCCTACTGAATATCCTATTATCTATATGGGAGTGATACTGCATATTCTATTTGACATACTATTATCTATATAGATGTGATACTGTATATCCTAATGGATATCATATCATCTATATAGGTGGGACCGTGTGATACTTTATATCCTACTGAGTATCCTGTATCTATAATATTGGTGTGTTACCTTGGGTGTGTTACTGTATATCCTACTGGATATCCTATTTTCTATACATATGGGATACTGTATATCCTACTGGATATCCTATTATCTATATAGATGGGATACTGTATATACAACTGGAAATCCTATTTTCTATACATGTGGGATACCGTATATCCTACTGGTTATCCTATTATCTATATATTTGGGATACTGTATATCCAACAGGATATCCAATTATCTATATATGTGGTATACAGTATATCCTACTGGATATCCTATTATATATATGTGGGATACCGTATATCCTACTGAATATCCTATTATCTTTTTATATGGGATACTTTTTATCCTTCTGAATATACTATTATCTATATAGATGTGATACTGTATATCCTACTAGATATCCTATTATCTGTATAGGTGGTATACTGTATATTCTACTGGAAATCCTACTATCTATATACATAGGATACTGTATATACTACTGGGTATACTTTTATCTTAAAAAGAAGCAACTCTCTAAGTACAGGGTGTCCCAAAAAACATGGGAATTCAGTGACGAATTCGATATCGTCTTTGTTATGAATTAGCATACCGTATATCCTACTGAATATCCTATTATCTTTTTATATGGGATACTTTTTATCCTTCTGAATATACTATTATCTATATAGATGTGATACTGTATATCCTACTAGATATCCTATTATCTGTATAGGTGGTATACTGTATATTCTACTGGAAATCCTACTATCTATATACATAGGATACTGTATATACTACTGGGTATACTTTTATCTTAAAAAGAAGCAACTCTCTAAGTACAGGGTGTCCCAAAAAACATGGGAATTCAGTGACGAATTCGATATCGTCTTTGTTATGAATTAGCATTGTAACACCTAATTTCAAAAGCCATAATATTATTATGTCTGCTAGAGTTTATTTAATGAAAAGGGTAAAAGACTGTAAAGATGTGTCTATAATGTCTCCGCAAGATGAACAGTGAATACGGACAAGTTTACTCTGTTTGTATACTGTAATTTTCTTGTTTTACTATGTACAACCGGTTGCAGTCAAAACATAGACAAACAAAATGTAAACATAGCAGACGAAACTCTTACAGATTACAGCTTTCTAAGTAGGTATCACTATACTAAATCAAAGAATTATTTGAAAAGACGATATCGAATTCGTCACTGAATTCCCATGTTTTTTGGGACACCCTGTATATTTAAAAATAGACTACTAAATTCTCTTTTTGAAAATTATAGGACAATGTGTTATAAACCGAATTGCTATTCATGTAAAACTAATTAGACATGTTTTAATATGCTTTGATATTTGTTGTGTACATGTCAGAAAATTACTTTAAACTCTAGTTATTCGAATTAGTGTATAAACTATTTTGCATATGTAAATTTGCACCCGGATCTCTAATCGTTCTCCTTAAATCTATTTAATTGAAATATTTTGTTATTATTACTAAAATTAGGTGGAAAAAATAATCAAAACAGCCAAGAGCTATTTTCCACCTAATTGCTTTATACTTGTACTGTTAATATAATCATCAATTTTGTGATTGTAAACTCTATCTGTATACAGATACATTTATTTTAGCAATAAACTTTATCTTATCTTATCTTATCTTATCTATGTAGACGGGATACTGTATATCCTACTGGATATCCTATTATCTATAAAGGTGTGATACTGTATATCCTACTAGATATCCTATTATCTGTATAGATGGTATACTGTATATTCTACTGGAAATCCTACTATCTATATAAATGGGATACGGTATATACTACTGGGTATCCTTTTATCTATGTAGACGGGATACTGTATATCCTACTAGATATCCTAATTATCTATGTGGGATACTGTATATCCTACTGTATATCCTATTATCTATATAGGTGTGATACTGTATATCCTACTGGATATCCAATTGTCTTTATAGGGGTGATACTATATATCCTACTGGATATCCTATTATCTATATAGGTGTAATATTGTATATCCTTCTGGATATTCTATTATCTATATATGTGGGGTACTGTATATCCTACTGAATATCCTATTATCTGTATATGTGGGGTACTGTATATCCTATTATATCTATATATTTTGGATACTGTATATCCTATTATCTATATAGGTGTAATATTGTATATCCTACTTGTTGGATATCCTCCGTTCTGGGATGAAGACCAGCATCGTCTCTACGCGCAAATTAAAGCGGGAGCATATGATTATCCTTCCCCGGAGTGGGACACAGTCACGCCAGAGGTAAAATTACGCAAAAAAATACATTTAAAAAAGACAACTCCCCGCGGAGAGAGGATTAAAGGAAAACAAATTCTGTAAGTTCTATTCATTATCTGAGTTTTCTTAGATTCTCTGATGCACTTATTGCTGTAGCCTGGGTGCCGTATATTCCGACCTAGATGATTCTAACCTAAAGGTTTTCTGACCTAAATATCGAGTAGTTTATGGTCATCCAACCTTAAAATATTGCTCATCCGACCTAATCCGACCTAAAAATATTGCTCAACCGACCTAAAAAAATTTCTCAACTTACCTAAAAATATTCCTCATCCGACCTTAAAATATTGCTCATCCGACCTAAAAATATTGCTCATCCGACCTAAAAATATTGCTCAACCGACCTAAAAATATTGCTCATCCGACCTAAAAATATTGCTCGACCGACCTAAAAATATTGCTCGACCGACCTTAAAAAATTTCTCAACTGACCTAAAAATATTGCTTAACCGACCTAAAATATTGCTCAACCGACCTAAAAATATTGCTCATCCGACCTAAAAATATTGCTCATCCGACCTAAAAATATTGTTCAACCGACCTAAAAAATATTGCTCAACCGACCTAAAATGAATGCTTATCTAACCTAAAATTGTTGCTTTACCAATCTAAAATATATTCCCAACCGACCTAAAATATGTTAATAACCGACCTAAATATATTTCCAATCTTTAGGTCAGTTTGGGACATTTCGCTAATCGAACCTACAGATGTTTAGGTCGGAAAAAAGTTAGGTCAGAAAAACGTTAGGTTCGTTTCCTCTAGGTTCGATGAGCGGGTACCGTAGCCTGTACAGTACAGTTTACGTGTCTAGGACGGGATCACGGTGTAGAACTGCGGCTGGGGGACTAGAAAATATCAGAAATATTCTTTCTGGCATTGACCTTCCGAAAGTTGTCTCCTGGAATTTAACCTCCGGATATAGTATTTCCAGAATTGGTTTTCCATTATTTTTCCTTATTCCTCAATATTTCCTCAATAGTCACGTGGATAAAATATTTACAATTTTTAAGTTCCGGATTGAAAACAAAAATATTTAATTGAAACATTTTAAAATTCTTTACCCTTGCATCAGGAATCATTTCTAACGTAAGAAAAATAATTTATTGACATTTTACTTGTGGAAATAAAATATTTACAGTTCATGTTATATCTAAGATATTGAATTATCGATTAATGTTTTAAATTAAAAATAGATCTAACTTTGATGAAAAAATTTTAATTTAAAAAGAGTTTTTAAAAGATTTTATTTGCTTAATGATTTGGACGAAAAAGGGACTTTCAAATGTTCAAATTTTCAAATTTCGATGAAAAACACGTTGTTCCAGTCTATAATTTAATATCTAAGTACATTGTGAGAATGGTCAAGGCCGTATTGTAAAAGTTAAAAGAACAATACAGTTTTACTTCATATTTGCATTAACCATTATATTCCCAAATCACAATGAAATAAGCGGTTTCTTAATAATCTGAAAATAAAATCTGTGATTGACCTTATCTTCTACCAGAGTCCAAGTTTTCTCAAAATCAAAAGATTTTCTTACTTAGTTCTTTTCCTGAAAATAATTATATTTAGGCGAAGAATCTGATAAACCAGATGTTGACAGTAAACCCTGCCAAGAGGATCCGTGCCGAGGAGGCCCTCAAGCACCCCTGGATCTGCCAGAGGGAGCGTGTTGCTTCCGTTTTCCACAGGTCAGTATATATTCTAGTTATCTAGATGTCTAGTTATCTAGTTATCTAGTTGTCTAGTTATCAAGTTATCTAGTTATCTAGTTATCTAGTTATCTAGTTATCTAGTTATCTAGTTATCTAGTTATCTAGTTATCTAGTTAACTAGTTAACTAGTAATCTATTTATCAATATCTTGTTATTAAACTAAAAACTATTAAATATTCTATAAAGGCAAGAGACTGTGGATTGCTTGAAGAAGTTCAATGCTCGAAGGAAGCTGAAGGGAGCTATCCTCACTACTATGCTAGTGTCAAGAAACTTCTCAAGTAAGTTGATTTTTCCTTTTTCACATTGTCTGCTGTATAAAGTTGTCTGTTTTTAACCCCTGCTCTAAGAATAGATGAACACCGTGTTTGAACTGTTTATTATTTTCTTTTTAATTTCTCTTTTGAGAGGTTTTCGTATCTAATCCAAAATTAGGAGAAATATGTAATCGTCATTTTTCTCGACTAAATTTTATGTTTTGTATTATTAATATTTGTTCCGACTCGAATCTATTTCATTGTATTTTATTGGTTTTATGGTAGAATCCTTGATGAAGCATGTGTTTTCTAACTACACTTTACAAGCATGATAAGCAATGTGTCTCAAAGGAATGCATTTATAGTTTAAGGGGTTTATTTTTTTCCGGATCAATTAATCTACTGAAGTATTTTTTGGCTCTTTTAATGAACGATAATTTATTTCAAAGAATATTCATCTGATCAGTAACATAAAAACTTCAACTTTAAACGGAAGCTTAAGCGATCTTTCATTACAAATTGATAAAATCCATTCTTCGAGTTTATAGCTGAACTCATTTGACTGATTTAAAAGTATTAAGCTTCAAATGTATTTTAACAAGTGTGCACCGGTTTAACATCTAATGGGGAATAGATTTTTTTGTATTATGAGGAGTTTTTTTTACATAAAGTGGACTTCTGATAATTTTAATGCGTAAACATTCGATTAATAAACACTTGTTAAAGCTCAAAAGAATGATCAGGTTAAAAAAATACACAGAAGAGAAAAATATCGAATATATTTCAGAATTCTATGGCATGCCTAAGACGAGCATCTTTTTATATTTAATTTTGATGGTTCACTACGCAAGAACAGTATTTTCACTATATTAAAGTGAGAAAAGTAAAACTTATTAAAAAATGTTCTTTATTTACTAAAGAACACGTTGCTTGAAGGAAATGCAATGATAAATTGATGTCATGTAAATTCCCGGGAAAATCGAAAATGCTTTAGAAACGTTTTATTTTTACAAAATTAATGGAATTAATGGAATAAAAATAAATTCTAATTTTAACATTTTAAAGAATAAGTAACAAAGTAAACAGTGTATAAAAAAGGGTATAACGCAAATTATTTTACTTAAAACTCGAATGATCATTTTGAATCTTTTAATGAGCATGAAAAACAACAAATGTGCAGTGTACACAAACCCATTTTACTTTAAGATACTGGTAAAACTATTTGATTTACAACAAGATAAACATCAGATTTTTGTAATGTCGTCTTCCTAGTTTACAGTTTTAGGGGTTTACTGTGTGCAATATCTATATGAACGATAATTGAGATGATTTACAATAATGTACTCACATTTCTGCCGTCTCCTCCCCTAGTGTCCAGCCCTAAATATATATTTATGTTTCCATGTAAATGTTTTTGTTTTATTGATTGATTGATTGATTGATGTTTAGTCGGAGGCAAGTTTACATTAACCGGCCCAGAGATAAGTAGCATGCAGTGCCGGTTTTTTCATAAACACATTTAGCCATTTTCAGGGTTACCCACAAAGAATGAGATTTAATATAACGACATATAACTCCTAAGGTTCAGTTTGGGTTTTTAAATGGTGTTTAAATGTGTCAAGTATTAAAAGATGTTGCCACGGGTGTCTGTGAGTTTTCATCTTTTTTGAGTAACCCTGTATATTTGTATAAAATTAGGGAAAGTCAATGCACATCAGACTGAAAATATAAATTTACAAAAATAAGTTAGTCTGGTGCGTATTGCTTGGCCTTATATACTTTAATGGTATGCATGAACCAGGCATGCAATTAAGTCTGAGATTTTTCTAATTGAATGCATGAACCAGGCATTCAATTAAGTCTGAGATTTTTTTAACGGCATGAAACACTTTTGTGTCAGTATTCAGAAGGTTTTGGTTTAAAAAAAAATATGCAATAGAACAATTTTGCCAATCTAAAGCTTTGTTGCTACTGTATACATAATGACCACTATGAAACATTGAGAAAATTTATTTTTTTAACTTTTTAAAACAAAATCATACGTCCATGATTACCTAAAGTTTATGTATCTCGATGTTATAAATTGAAGAACGCTAATACTAAGACATTAAACACTACATAAATTGGTTGACTAATCTTTTTTGTTAATAAAGTATTTCACTAATCAATGCAACTAACATCTTGCAACTAACAAGTCACACAATTCTGAGATTACTAATTTCAACCATCCTTCCGCTTTTTATTGTTTATCACTGTACACTGAGTTTACTCTACACTTACAATCTAATTTATGCTAAAAGTACATCAAAATACACTAAATAAGTTCAATACATTATGCATTGAATATATAATTTTATATGCAAACCTTTTCTCATTCTAATCTTCTCTAAAGATTGAATTTTAAATCCATTTTCATATAATTTGAATTTTTGCAAATAATAATCGCATTTTTTACAAGGTTATCCATCAAACATGCACATTTACACTACTTCCGCTTCATAAAGCTTTTTACTATAAAATTACCATAAAGGCAGCATGTTGCTCTTTTTTAGTTTTTAAATTCATTTTTATTTTATTACCTTTAGGGTCCTTCAGCTCCGGTAACAATGACAATATAGCGTAGATTTATTTTTAGAAAATTCTGTTTTTTACTTTTAAAATCATACTTGCTTAGGTTACTAGTCAAACAAAAGCAAAATATACAAGATATTATACAAAACATGCCGATCAGCTTTCCTTTTGTAAACGATCATCTTGGTTTTATAAAGCATGGAAACCAGAAAACGATGGAATTTTCATCTTCATCTTTTTCTTTTAATAATGACTATTTTCGAACTTCTTCAAAGAAACAAAAATAAGAAAATAAAAAATTTTGTTTTTCATAATTTTCCAACAAAACAGAAAAAGTAAACCTAAATGCTTACTCCCTTCGCTTTATAACAGCAGGGCAGTCTGTACTGCATACTCTGTTAATATATTTACTCTGTGGATAAGAATAAGTGTTTCTGTTAATATATTTACTCTATGAACACAGCACAGTATTTTCTTTTGATTAATATTGTATATTGATTTTGATTTTGTAGTTAGATACGTCGTTTTACATGAAGTATATAGGATTAAAAAGTGGCACAAGAATGAAATAAATACATAATTACTATAATCGCAAGCAAAAAGAATTATAAATGTTAACCCATTGTTTTGGCAGAACTGCAATTGTTATTTTGACAGATAAATCCATTTAAATTCATCATGAAGAAAATTTCTTTTGCAAAATTCTTTTCCTGCTTTTTAGTAATGGAAAGTTGTATAAAGCATATATTTAATCACTAGTACATAATGCAAATATTATGATTTATCTTCAACCCGATTATAAATACTTTTTGATTTTGATGTTGATAACAATATATACATATATACAGCAATTCAAATCATAATTTTTCAAAGAATATGTTTTAACACAATGCAACTGTTAGTTGGGGTAGAGGTACCTTTTTTCCTGGCTTAGAAAATGCTTTTAATTTTTGATATATGGGAAAATTTATCAAAATATATATATATGGTATCAGGGAAGTGTGGAAAGTAACATTTGTACTGAGATATCTTAGAAACATTGCAGTAATTAATTACAGAATTCAAAATAAAAAACCTAAAAAATTTATATAATTTTCTAATTTAGCCAAGTCCTTGGTGAACAAGGGCTCCAAAGGAATCTTCTTCCCCCTCCTACAGTTAGTTTTATCCCTATAATAATAAACATGTTTTCCAGTTTTCTCTTGAAATATTCATATTTTAAATAAAAAAATGAGAAAAAGTTTCTGCACTTGAAATGTTTTTATTTTTCCTAAACAACTGATAATAATATAAATCTAAAAATATTATATTTTAATCATGGAAATCTTGTTGAATCAGGCGTCTACAGACAGCTCTACTACGCTGGAGGAAGACGACCCCAAAGGTATTATTTTTCAAAATATATTTTTCTTACATTTCTTTCTTTCGCAGCTTTTTCATTTTGGCATTCTGCTTATTCTTTATTGAATCAGCGTCAGAAAGAATACCATATTTTTGGAAACTGTAAAATATGTACATAAAAATAAAATAAGATTTAAATGTTTTGTATTACATGTTTGCAGTACGTTTTTGCCGTTTGTTTGGGAAAACGTAGCAAAATTTAATCCTAAATTTTGAAAAAGAAAATTCTAATAGTAATTCAAATTGCGTACTGCAAAATAGTAAACAAAGTTCAAATTTTTTAACCTATTGATATGACGTAAAAAACTTACTTTTATACAGTTATTAATATATTTTGACTTTACACAGACTAACAATCTATTGCACAGCAAACATATATAATAATTCATGTACATTGATTAACATTGTGCAATTCCAGCTTGTTCTGTCAATTTATTAAAGTAAAAACAAACTTTTGCTTTGAAAAATTTTACAGTTTGTATTTATTCTTTTACTCATTTCTTAATATTCTTTCTTGACTTTAGACATGGGGCATAAATATAGACTTTAGACATGGGACATACATATAGACTTTAGACATGGGGCATAAATATAGACTTTAGACATGGGACATAAATATACACTTCAGACATTTGGCATAAATATAGACTTTAGACATTTAGCATAAATATAGACTTTAGACATGGGGCATAAATATAGACTTTAGACATGAGGCATAAATATAGACTTTAGACATGGGGCATAAATAAAGACTTTAGACATAGGGCATAAATATACACTTAAGACATGGGACATAAATATAGACTTTAGACATAGGGCATAAATATACACTTTAGGCATGGGACATAAATATAGACTTTAGACATAGGGCATAAATATACACTTCAGACATGGGGCATAAATATACACTTTAGATATGGGGCATAATTATACACTTTAGACATGGGGCATAATTATCCACTTTAGACATGGAGCATAAATTTACACTTTAGACATGGGGCATAATTATACACTTTAGACATGGGGCATAATTATACACTTTAGACATGGGGCATAAATATAGACTTTATACATGGGGCATAAATATACACTTTAGACATTGGACATAAATATAGACTTTAGACATGGGCATAAATATAGACTTTAGGCATGGGGCATAAATATAGACTTTAGACATGGGGCATAAATTTAGACTTTAGACATGGAGCATAAATATAGACTTTAGAAATGGGACATAAATATACACTTTAGACATGGGGCATAAATATAGACTTAAGACAGGGTGCATAAATATAGACATTAGACATGGGGCATAAATATAGACTTTAGAAATGGGACATAAATATAGACTTTAGACATGGGACATAAATATAGACTTTAGACATGGGGCATAAATATAGACTTTAGACATGGGGCATAAATATAGACTTTAGACATGGGGCATAAATATAGACTTTAGACATGGGACATAAATATAGACTTTAGAAATGGGGCATAATTATACACTTTAGACATGGGGCATAATTATACACTTTAGACATGGGGCATAATTATACACTTTAGACATGGGGCATAAATATAGACTTTAGACATGGGACATAAATATATACTTTAGGCATGGGGCATAAATATAGACTTTAGAAATAGGGCATGAATATAGACTTTAGACATGGGGCATAAATATACACTTTATACATTGGACATAAATATTGACTTTAGACATGGGGCATAAATATAGACTTTAGACATGGGGCATAAATATAGACTATAGACAAGGGGCATAAGCATAGAGTTTTTGAAATATTGATAGGGTAAAATTGACTTAAGACGAAATTAAAATTTTACTCATATATATACATGTGTAAATATATATATAGAGTGAGAGAGAGATAGCATTTTCGATTAACAACGATACCCGTTAAACCTTTAAACTAGCAAAATCAAGAACGAAAACGTCGTTTTTTTCTCAAAAAATTATTTCTGAAAATTCATGCACAAGTGACGTTAATGGAAAACCCAACTGGTATATAATAAATTTAAAGATTAGATATGGGAATAACTTCATATTTTTTTCTTATATCAAGGTTTAAATTGTACCCTGGTGAATTGGACAAACAATTTTTTAAATAGAAGGTTTTTTCCTTCGCAATCGTCATTCATGTTTGTGACTTTGTTAAATTTTATCAAAATTATGTTAGGAATCATTCACACATCAACAGAATTCAAAATCACAGCATTCAAAAATTAAACCTAGAACCTTTATAATGAAAGAAGGATTTACCAAGATAGGATTAGACTGGGGGGAGCAAGAGTGAAATCTATTCAAACAAAGTACAGGGTGTCCAATTAACATGAGAATTGAGAGAAGACTTGAATATCGTCTTTGATTTCCGATAAATATAAATGACAGTAAGTGCATCACAAAAAAATTTACCATCTTATAAGCTTTCCAAAGTGTGGTCTACCTTCCTTGTTTCTTTAAACGTTTGAACAGTTTTTTTGATTTTCAATTAACTGGAATCTGGACAAATTTTAAAGGTAGAGAATAGAAATATGGTAAACCACATTTTGGAGTTCCTAAAACAAGCTGTTCAAATTATTCACTGCTTAGAATAAAATACCTCCAAAGTTATGTTTACGTAATAATGCTACGTGGAACGAAGACGATATAAAATTCGTCAATTAATTCCTATGTTTATTGGGACACTCTGTATCTGAAACTAAGATGCAGTGAAATAGAAATTCGGAAAACATTATCAAGAATATATTTGATTTAGAAGTACAAGGACATGGTTGAGTAGGTCGTAATAAGGAATTAAATACTGTTAACTAAACATCTGGTATAAAAATATTTTTTTCATCATGGAGATTGGAGAATTTAAAATCTGGAATTAAAATATATTGGATTTATGCACCTGGGAATTATTAATCGGATTAAATGATTTGGGATTGATAGATTCGGGAATTATGAATCAGGGATTACAGGATCTGGGATGAACGGATCTAGGACTGAACATCTTGGATTAAAGGATCTGGGAAAAAAGAATCTTGGAAATGATAGAAACTGAGATTACAGAATCTTGGATTTAAGGATTGGGGATTAAATGATCTGGGATTGAATATCTTGGATTAAAGAATCTGGGATTGAATATCTTGGATTAAAGGATCTGGGATTAAAGAATCTGAGAATGAAGGATTTTCGATTGAAGAAACTGGGATAAAAGGGTCGGAGATAAAAATTATCTGGGATTTAGTATCTTGGATTGAAGGATCTTGGATAGAATATCTGGGATTAAAGGATATGTAATTAACGTATCTGGGACTAAATATCCTAGATAAAAGTTGGATTAAAAGTTGAATATATCCTAGATGAAAAGAAGACAGGTGTAGACAGGTCTTCTACTGTTATTGCCCGGGATGTGACCGAAGGTAAACAAATAGTCTACATTACAGTAGGACCTAGATATTCAACATAGAAAATAAAATTTAGATCTACTACCTAGAAACTAGGACTTAGATCTTGAACCTAGAACATAGCACGTAGATCTTGAACCTAGAACAGGGAACTTTGATCTTGAATTAACCTAGAAATTATTAGAATTTAGAATCTAGAATCTAGAATCTAGAATCTAGAATCTAGAATTTATATATGAAATTAATCCAAATGAAAACGCCACTCTAGAATCTAGAACCCTTTACTATAGACTAGTTTTAGAACTTTAACATTGAACATCAATTTTGAACGTAGAACCTCGAATTCTTTTTTACAATAAGCCACTTGATCATTTGGAGATAATGTTTTTTTATTCAATCACTAAAATTAATTCAAGAAATCCAGATTTTACAAAAAGCAAGCGAGATGCTATCTTTTAAATCTACAACAATTTAAACAGTTTTTA